AAGCAAAAGAAGTGCAAAGAATCAAAATAGAAAAAAAAGTAAGCTATGCTCAAGCTGCCAAAGTTTGGAAGAATGATCAAGATCAAGCAATGGATACAAACCAAATCCAACACGCTCCTCTTTCACAAGAAAGACAAGCGGTAGACTTTCCGGTACAGATAAACAAACAAACACCCCAGATAAAAGAATCTGAGAAGGAAATTAAAACTTATCCCAAACAACTAAAACAAAGCGAAGGCAGACAACAAAACAGAAATACGAAAGAAAATACTGCACACCAAGATTATTCTGGAACCACGCAGTATGTTCATGAAGGAGGAGAAGTTTGTAAAAATGAGAAAAACTTCGTTGTCAATGCCAGTAATGAAGAAATAATTTCATTTATTGTATATATTCTTGCAAATTTTAATCAAAAGAAAGATAATCCAATAAGCCTGATTGTAGGAGCAGCTCTCAAATTTTTCAATCTCACTAAAGAAATGTTAAATGAACAAAATGTTATTGACCTGGTATTTTAGTCTGTTCGCCTCCGTGACCCTAAATATACTGCAATGGAATGCGCAGGGCATAAATGGTCACGGAGACGAACTGAGACTTCACATTAATAATAGACAAGAAATAATTCATTTAATTTGCGTGCAAGAAACTTGGCTATTAGAAAACGAAAATTTTGATATAAATAATTATGAAGGAGTTTATAGAAATAGAAAAACAGGCATACGAGGTGGATGTGCTATATACTTCCATAATTCGTTAGGACATAACAAAGTTACAGAACATGAAGACATAGAATGTCAAACGGTGAATATATATTTCAATCAATGTATATACACAGTGGTGAACTTTTATAACCCATGTAAAAAGATAACACCACAGATATTGGATAATATAACAAAAAATGCAAAAGAAGCTAAAAGAAAAATTATATTAGGAGACTTTAACGCACATAATACTTTATGGGGTAGTGACAAGACCGACGGAAATGGAAAAATAATCGAAAAATACATGTTGAAACATGATTTTACGATTTGTAACCTTGGGGAAGGTACAAGAATTGACCATAGAACGACAAAGCGTTCAGCATTAGATTTATGCTTTTCATCTCCTAATATTTCCCATAAGATTTCTTGGAGCGTAGAATCTACCACTTTAGGAAGTGATCATTTTCCTATATTGATAGAAATAGGAAATCAAAATGATCTTCCAAAGATTGATCCGGAAGAAATAAATTGGTCACTTGCTAATATTAATTGGGAAACATTCCAACAAGCATGTGAAGAAGAGATGATAAATATAGACGAACATAATGTAGAAGAAGCTTACATTATATTTGTAGAAACTTTGAATAACATAATGATACGTCTAGGAAAAGTGAAATCAAAAAGAAGACAAAATCCTGTTCCCTGGTGGAACAAGGAATGTTCACAAAGTATAAAAGAAAGAAATCACCTAAGATATCTAGCAGAGAAAAGAAAAACTGGAGAGTATGTAGAAGACTACCTGATAAAGAAAGCAGAAGCACAAAAGATCAAAAGACAAGCAAAACGAGACTATTGGATCACCTATTGTAAGGAAATGACTCGTTTCACATCAATGACAGACATTTGGAATATGATACGTAAAATAGAAAATAGTAAGACTAATAAGAAAAATAAAAACATTAAATCGATAATATACGAAGAGAAAGAAATAATAAATCCTCAAGAGGTTGTAAATGTGATGGCTAATCATTTTGAAAATATTAGTGAGAGTACAATAATAAACAATGAAGCCGAAAATATAGTTAAAGAATATATTATGCAAGAAAATGTAAATGACGATCAAGAACAACGTAGAAATCAGTCTTTGAATCAAAAATTTACTATGCAAGAATTCAATCAAGTCCTGAAAAATCAAAAAGATACAGCACCAGGAAAAGATAAAATTGGATATGAAATCTACAAGAAGTTACCAGTACAGATTAAAAATAAAATGTTAAAAATTATGAATAAGATTTGGGAAAGTGGAAACATCCCCCAACAGTGTAAACACGGAATCTTGATACCGATACTAAAAGCAGGTAAAGATCCACAAAAACCATCATCGTATAGACCAATAACATTAACTCCCATCTTTATAAAGATATTGGAAAAGATGGTTTATAGAAGACTAGATTGGTATTTAGAAAATAAAAGTATTTTTCCGAGCATACAGAGCGGATTCAGAAAAGGAAGAAGCTCTACAGATAATATTATACTACTTGAAAATAGTATTCAGCAAAGCTTAGGGAACCATGAACATACTCTAGTCTGCTTTATAGATGTAACAAAGGCATACGATAAGTTGTGGTACAATGGTTTATTATATAAATTACTCAAATTAGGAGTGAAAGGAAACATGTATACATTTATTCAGAACTTACTACAGAAAAGAACCTTCCAAGTGAGGAATGGACAGACATTATCTAAAATATCTACCCTAGCCAATGGATTACCACAAGGAAGTGCCCTTAGCCCAATTTTATTCAACATTATGATGCATGATATACCATTGGAAAAGGAAGTGAATTTATCATTATTTGCAGATGACTGTGCTATATGGAAATCAGGTAAAAATGAAACGTTTGTTCAAGACAAAGTTCAAACATACCTACATCGGTTAAATGAATGGTTTAAATACTGGGGAATTTCAATATCTCATGAAAAAACAGTTTCGCTTCTATTTACAAATAGTAATAAAAAATGTGAACTGAATCTTGAAGGAGTACCCTTGCCTTTTGTACAGGAGCACAAATTCCTAGGCTTAATGTTTGATAAAAAATTAAGTTGGAGACCACATATTCAGGATATAGTAAAAAGATGTAAAATAAAATTGAATATTTTGAAGAAAATAACTGGTATATCATGGGGAAATGACTCCCACTCTATGCTTATTGTATATAAAGCATTAATACGTTCACTATTTGACTATGGATGTGAAGCATACGATTCAGCTTCAAACTTAGTAAAGAATACGTTGAACTCAGTACAATATCAGGCTTTAAAAATTATAACCGGTGGCCCTATTGGAACTTCATTACAATCCCTGCTTAAAGAAACAGGAGAAGAACCACTAGATATAAGGAGAAAAATGCTGACGAATAGATATTATTTTAAAGTGAAATCTACTCCCGAACGCCCAGTCCGAAAATGTACAATCAACTGTTGGCAGTATGAAAATCTTAAAAAAAAGAAAGGAAAAAAGCCCTTTGGTTTTAGAATTCTAAACGAGAAAATAGTTCAAGAATCGGATGAAGTTGAAGAAAACAGACCAATACCATTTCCACCATGGCATTACATTCCACCCACCATCTCCACTGAATTACATACTTTAATCAGCAAGAATGACAACCCACACTATCAAAAAGCCAAATCTTTAGAAGTAATAAACACTAGATATAAAACACACCTACATATATACACAGACGGATCTAAAGATCCTAAAAGAGGCAACGCAGCAGCAGGCTTCTACGTACCAGCGATGAAAATTCATGAACAGAAACGATTACACAATGACACATCGTCATACAGGGCAGAACAAGTAGCCATTATTATGGCATTAGATTGGATTGAAAACTTGAATATTTATGTTGGTATAGTTATTCTTTCAGACTCTCTGAGTACAATAAATGCAATAGAATCGCAGATAAAAGAAAATTTCGTAATAGAAATACTGATAAAAATAACACATCTTCATTATAGAGGTATAAACATAACGCTAGAATGGATCCCATCTCACTGTGGACTAGTAGGGAATGAAGTAGTAGATAGTTTTGCTAAGAGAGCATTAAAGAAAAACATAGAAATTAACAATGATCTTAATGTACAAGAACTGAAATCAATACTGAGTAAAAGAGTACGAGAAATTGGGGAAGAAAGATGGAAAACGATAGAATCACCTTTAAAACGATTTGAGAATCATTCATGTATATCAATCAAGGTAAACAGATACAGTGAAGTAATATTACATAGATTGAGAATGGGTGTTCTTCAACTGAACCAACAAAAGGCTAAAGTGGGTTTAAGTGAAACAGAATATTGTGATGATTGTAACATCAGTGAAACAGAAGAACATTTTATATTTTATTGTAATAAGTATATCATTGAACGAGCAATGCTTTTCTCAGATTTAGACACCAAAACAATAGAAGAAACAAAAAGAATACTTTTCAAGTTTTCACAGAAGGCTCAATATGCCATCCTACTATATATCCATAGAACAGGTCGCTTCAAATAAAACAAGAGACCTAATAAGTTTACCTACAAGTAAAGTAAAATAAGCCAAAAGTACTTCTTTCCCCTATCGCTTCTTTAGGAGATTCTCATAAAGAGAATAAAAGGAGGAATAAATAAAGAAATATAATGTATGTAGGTATGTAATATATAGGCCTATATAGGCCATATATAATATTAAATAAAGACGTTAATTTTTCAATTGTTCTATTTTTATGCATTGATACTAACAAAGAGCCCACTTAAATGTTTGCTTACAAATAGTGATAATGTGATAAGATTTGTATATCAATTTACTTGAATGGATTGGAAATTCGGTTTCAGGAGCGCCCCTGTACGATGTGTCTCAATTTATAGTGTTTCTGTGTTTCCGAGTGGTCTAGGCACCGTGCGTTATAAAATTAAAAGATCACTGCGCACGCACGCCGAGTAGCCGAGAAGCCTGTTTCACATCGGGCAAAGCTAGTTTTCCATGCCATCGAAACCGGGCTGACCAGATTAAACTTAAAAAAATAAAAAAAAGCAGAAACACGAAGTTGCAAACCATCCAGAGACTCCTAAAAAATTGCGTTACTTTTTAATTATATCATTACAAATCTTTATCCTCAGTTTTCTTATTTATAACTGATTTTCCTTATAAAATTAAAAATAATTATGGCGTATATATTCAACATTGAATGAACGCCAATAAACAATTACCCAACAACAACAACTTCTTCTTCTTTCTTTTCTTTTTCTTTTATTCTTTCAATGATACCGTAGATTGTATGGCGTAGCTAGCAACGTAATGGAGAACGAACGTGTGTGTTGTTGTTATGGGCCAACCAACTTGATCCAATTTTTTGTATCAACCTTAGCTCGAATTAATGTTATACACATACATTTCATTTAAAGATCAATAGCTAAACCCTACCATGGATGGGAAAGAGAAGCAGGATGGCGTGTTGGAGAGTTATTCACCTGGTAAGATTCGCAGCGCGCACCGCAGCGCTAGTCATAGTCAGCCTCTACTACGGTACTACTACTAGTAGTAGGGTGTCTGATCGCGCACTCGATGTTGTGTGCTAAAATACTTCCCATAGAGATTGCACACATCCCTATGCAGTCTACGTGCATTGCGCCACCATGAAAATTGGTCAATGATTTTATGAAAAAAATTGAAATTCAAACCTTTGGGGCTTGTGATCCTGAAGGTGAAACTCAGTAAATGAGGTGTCATATGAAAGAGCAGGTTTTTCTCCATATTCCCCAAGGGGGCGCACCCCCAAAATTCTAAAAATATCTTGGTCAAAACAGCGATTTAAATGTTGTTTGCATCCTAGCTCCAAAATTTGCCACTTTCCTGAGCTGCGCCCCCCGGGCTTATGTCCGGCAAGACGTAAGGAAAATATGTATGCACTTATTTTTTCGCTAGCCCCAAGAGATCACTCGCCCCAACAGTTTAAATATACCCTTCCCACATTTTTGGAATCAGCTAATTAGGGAGGCGTGAGCTCCGCTCAGTCCAAACCATGGTTACATCGCATAACATCTGCGTGTATAGTGAATGAAAGTATGGATAGACATTCGCGCCATAAACCCCGGAAGTGAATACACGTTATAGTCAATGGCAATAGGCTCTAGGCTCAAGCTCTAGCAAGTCCAAAAACCAGCGAGAAAAGGGACGCAGCGCAGCTAGCCAGGCAAGGGCAGCAGCCGGTTGCGGATGGTCACGTCGGACGTAGCTACGCGTAGTGGCACAACTTGCAATATTGTCATCAATTCTAACTTTAACTCTTTCTCACACGTGGAGGATCGTTTGTATTGTTGGGTGAAAAAACAGATTCTAGTCTTTTAAAAATGTCAACATCATGGCATATGTATAGACCTATGCCGCTTTTAAAGGGATCCGGTAACTTTGTCTCAGATTCCGAAACAAAATCCTGGATTTAGCTCATGCTGCAATGATAATTATAAACCTTTAGGTCAGTCAGGAACCCCATGACTCTTAAGCCTTTCGCCTGTCTGATTATCAAAATATTTATGATTGGAAATCGAAACCAAATTTTGCGTCTATACTATAGTCTAGTATGAACATGACGGACAAAGAAAGAGGACAAAATATACGGTTCCTCATTCTACCCTCAACAATTGCTGTTGTAGACAAAGGAACATCCCTTCACTGCTATTATGTAAAAATGTGTAGAACAGGTGAATATGCATGTGACACATGATCTACACATTTTTACATAATAGCAGTGAAGGGATATTCCTTTGTCTACCACAGCAATTGTTGAGGGTTAGAATGAGGAACTGTATATTTTGTCCTCTTTCTTTGTCCGTCCGTCATGTTCAATGTGAGGCCTATGGTAAAACCGGTCACTCAAAGATTTTTACTTTTTTGAGGCTCTTCTAGATCATTTTGAAGCGCGATTTTTTTTTAAGGCTCCAATATATTATACCATATTACAGACACTGATAACACGTAGGGCCATGCATCTCAGATTTAACATTGTTAAAGTGTTAAACGATGCCTTAAAGTCCAGTTTGTTGTTTTTAATTTTTTTTTTCTTCTTCAAATTACCGGTATTTTCATTTATCCATTTTAGCCACCAGCTTTGAAGTGCGACTCAATGAGGTCCAACAGAGAAGCACAAAGTGCCCATCTTCACAGAGGGCGATGTCAATCTTTGAGGTGTTTGACGAGGTCTTACCCCAGCTGGGAATCTTCCGGAAGATCCTGAAGATGGTTAGAGATGAGATGTTTGGTAAGGAAAATGCTTCAAAAATATCATCCAAGTTTAATTCCTAACATCATAGCTTTCCCTGTAGCACCGTGCAACCAACCCTCATCCAGATGCTGAACAGGCTTTGATGAGAAACGGCGTAGAAGTAGAAGTACATGTAGTGTGATAAAAGAAATTGTACATTTCAAGAGATAGTCACCACTTTAAGAATTCTCAAAATTCTTACTTTCAAATTCAATTTTATTCTATAACCTTAACAAACAATTTGTATTGTCCTTGTTATGTGTGATATAGCTCTTGTGAAAAGTTGTCATTATTATTAGTATAAGCATACATAATGAGGTGTAACAAAAAAGTGTAAAATAATATTTCTATTTACTGTCCAATTTACTTGGGCATAGAATATATCCCATTGAAAACTATTACCGGTTTGTGGTCTAGGAAGAAAGCTTAACAATTTTTAGTCTCTACACATTGTTCACGAATCTAATTCTTAAACTGGATGTGCCATCTTCAGCAAAGACGGGTTAAGCAGTGTTTTATTTTATCCTGCCATATGTGCATGGGGCTTATATATTACACAGATATTCCAATTCATCTATGATTATCCTTTCTCACATGAACAGAGGCTGTATACAGTCACCAGTACACTGGTTCACAGGAGCAACATACAGACTACAGCGCTGCTACCAATGTTGTGACAGCCAGAGGGGTAGAGAACAAGGTCTACATAGAGAGAATACCATATTTCTCTCTCGTGCAGAGAGTCTATGATTCTAGGTAATTCATGTTTTTTCTTATTAATGGTTTTCTATGCTTAAGTTACATTTATAAACCTATGAAGGGGAGTTATTTTGGGCTATTAAAGGCACACTGTCCTACTTGTAGCTACTTGCTCCCTCTATATAGAAAACTTCCCCAATCGGTGCCTGTTGGTCCCCCATGATCCTCTTTTTCTTATGTTAAATGAGAGCCGAGTTAATGAGATAGCCACCTGTCACAGTGACCTCGATGGTGACCTCGATGGTCTAATCCCTTCTAGCTGAAGTAGTAAAGCCTACCTTTAATACTTAAATATTCTGATTCTTCTTTAGTTCTAGGCCCATGCTGTACAACTACTTTAAATTCCTTATTTGGAATTTAATTGGAAATTGATACTCTAATAGTAATGATGATTATGATTTGTCAATTCTTTTTAAATTTGTATCATTTGCCAAGAATCAAAAATGTATTTACCCTGTGTAAAATGCTATATGGGCCCTTCTCTCTCCCGGCAATTAAACGCTATAACATTGGGATACATATCACATCAATGTGCGCTTCCAATGTTCTTTAAGATAGTTTCCATTGTTTAAGCTCTGGCAGCAATAATTATTTCAAGGACTACAATTACAAACCCTGAGCCTTTTGGATCACCAAAATCCAATGCAGTGTACAAAATATTGTTCTGTTGGCGGAGGCTCTTCGAGGATTTGCTTTTGTACATTACGCAATTTTCTAACAGTGATTTTAATTCATTTTTAATGGTTTTTATCAGAGATTTTGTTTTAATTTACCCGAGCACTTTTGGAGCTTTCAAGAGCTAAATCGTTCACCGTTCCTGTTTCTTTTTGTCGCTGATCCAATGCAATATTTTGTTTACAGTATTCTTGTACCATGATAATTGATTACCGGTAAGCAAATGTTAAATCACAACTTATTTCAAATGATAGTCAATTTGTGTCCATCTCTTTATTCAGGCATGAGGAAGCTGATGAACTGCGAGAGGAGGTCAAGGTTCTTCAGAAGCGCCTCTCAGACAAAACAATGCAGTTCAACCAGGCGGTGACAACCATTGGCGTCCTGAGGGATGACATCTTAGGACTTCAAGCCACGGTGGAGGAGAAAGAAGAGATGATCGACGATAGAGATGATACAATTGCAAGGTGTGTTTCTCACCCTGGCCCCAATACCAATAAAACAAAAACTACTGGTGTTGTGTCAATGATGTCATTAAAATGGAGGATCTCTGGTTTTGCATTCTTTTTTGGCCACCCTGGTTATGCCACTGCTGATTGAACTAAGTGTACTGATACCAAGACATCTGCATCTGTAGAAGTATCATGTTTTAAAAAATCCCTTTACTGGTAGCTTCATTTAGATTCTGATGATGGATAAAAAACTTGTCACCACCACATGTGCAGTACTTTAAAGGAGAATGTTGTTGTTGTTGGTTGTAATTATGGCGCTCAGTCAAATTTGACTATTTAGGCCTATAGTCAAGTTCTTTAAGGCGTGTCGAGGTAGTTGAGTCGTAATATAATTCCTAGCTTGGAAAGTAAAGGAAAATGAATACCCACCTTGGCTAAATACTCTCAAACCTTCATTTAAGGTGATCTTATAAATCTGTTGTTGTTATCTCAATGTCTCATTGTAGCAAGGAGGATGAGATCATAACTCTGAAGGAGGAAGCCTTCAGGGAGAAGACACAACTTGAGATGGAGAAGCACCAGTTGGAGGAAGAGGTGGCCAAACTGAAGAGCGAGGTGGAATACCTCAGTCACTATAAAAAGGGATACGATGATTTAGAGGAAGGTTAGTATGATGCGATGAGGCAAGAGTGAGGTGTTGTGGGCCTCATTCAGACACAATCTGATATACCATCTGTAAAGAAAAGCACAGCAAAATGAAATCAACTTAACTTTTTGATAAAGAAATAGCAAGTTGGGTGACAAAGTATCTGTCTGCAGCAGTGGCCTCTAGACAAAAGCACTTGTAACATTGTGTGTTAATCCATCTCATATAGGACGTTGGTGGTTTCTGTTCGAGACCTATGGGAATGGCCGAAAATCATTTGTCACAGGTTAATTAAAAAAAATTTAAAGGCACTTTGATGATGTCATTACATTTCCAGTACCGGTAGTATCTTTTTATGCCTCCGTTACGAAGTATCCGGAGGCATTATGTTTTCGGATTGTCCGTCCGTCCGTACGTCCCGTTCTCGTGATCACGTTATCTCAAGAACCGATGGATGGATTCCTGCCAAATTTTAACCATGTATGTATCTGGCAGAGCTAATGAACTGATTAGATTTTGGGGTCACGGGGTCAAAGGTCACTGGGCTCATTACGTATGCAAAATAGCTCGTGATCACATTATCTCAAGAACCGAAGGATGGATTCCTGCCAAACTTAGGTCACATACATATATAGCAGAGCTAATGAACTGATTAGATTTGGGGTCAAAGGTGACAGGGCTCATTATGTATGCAAAAATAGCTTGTGATGGTGTTATCTCAAGAACGGGTAAATGAATTCCTGCCAAACTTTAATCATGTAAGTATCTTGCAGAGCCAATGATCTGATTAGATTTTGGGGTCAAAGGTCACAGGGCTCATTATGTATGCAAAAATAGCTTATGATCACATTATCATTAGAACCGATGGACAGATTACCATCAAACTCAAAACATGTATTTATCTTGCAGAGCCAATGAACTGAGTAGATTTTGGGGTCATGAGGTCAAAGGTCATGGGGCTCATTATGTATGCAAAAATAGCTTGTGAATGCCTTTTTATTAGAACTGACGAATGGATTACTATCAAACTCGGGACATGTCTTGCAGAGCCATTGAACTGATTAGATTTTAGGGTCATAAGATAGAAGACCAAAGGGTCATACATGTATATAAAAAATAGCTTGTAATAACGATATTCTGCAAACCTGTTAATGGAATACAATCAAACTTGAATTTGAAAAATTGCTCTATGGCGGAGGCATCATTTTCAACTGCACGCAGTCGAACATCCATCTAGTTCAAAGGTGGTTTTCATGTGAACTAGGCTTATGTTAGTCAAGAAAAAAGTATGATGCTTTTTATTATGAGCATGAATGATGTATGGTGGAAGTAGAAGGGATTTGGAGGAGGATATTTCTGTCCCTCTGTTTGGGATGACTCAATCAAAAATATGCCCATTAGCTTTTGAAAAGATAGTAAATTGATTCTAATAGTAGATTTTCTTCCTTTCTTAATTATGCAGCTTTCATATTCAGACCAGGAGAGGACAAATTCACACATGCTCCAAAGAAGTCCAGGAAGTCAGCTATTGCAACAAAAAAGGTGAGGATGGTGTCTTTAAAGACCGTCAATACTACTGGGCCAGAAGGGATTAGACCACCCAGCCAGGTCACTGACAGGTGGCTATCTCATCAACTCAGCTCTCACTAATTAACATAAGAAAAAGAGGATCATGGGGGACCAACAGGCACCGATTGGGGAAGTTTTCTACATGGAGGGAGCAAGTAGCTACAAGTAGGACAGTGGGTCTTTAAAGGCCATTCGTGTTCGTCAATGACAGGAATCAAAATGATGAAGAAATGTGGTATTAATCTGTTTATTAATCAGGCAAAGCGGACTGATTCCCAAGAGATATTGTTTACTTGAAATCATGTGTCTTAAAGGGCATGTGCTTGTAAATTCATGGCAAGAGTCAAATTAATGGGGAGAGTATATAAATATGTTCATTTTTTGGACAAAGACAATTAAAATTAGATAGGTTACAATCACAATGAAAGGCAAGAGGTTATTTATATATACATGTATATATATATATATATATATATATTACATGCAAGGATCTAAATTAATGCTGACCTCTAATTCACTTGCATTCTTCATAAGGAAGCAAATATTTGACAGCATCATAGAGCTGGCTATATATGCACCAACATAATTGTGACCACTGCTCAGTCCAGTATGCTGTAATGCAAGATATTCCAGGAAAGAATACGGTAACTGAAATCTTATTAAGCTTTCTTTCATCCCATCCTGTGATCACTCTACAGAATCATCTCCTGACGGACTACGAGGCAGCGAAGAAGATTGAGAAGCAGTTGCTCCTGGTGAGGAACCAGACGATCGAGGAGTTTGATGCGTTCTTTGAGAGTCATGTGATGGAACTCAAAGACAGGGTCTTCAAGGATAAACCTAGAGAGGATCAAATCTTACCGGATCACATCTATGATCAGGAGGAGCTTATCATTGAAAAGCTGGATATGCAGGTATGTTGCAGTTTAACTTTAAAATATTAATTATGAACGAATAAAACAGATATTACCATCGGAAGTACATTAGAATTTTTTTAGAATGATTTTCAAGAAAGTATAATATTTTTTACAATTTTTGTAATCATTTCATGGAAAAAAGTGATGTCACTGATATTAATGATAATGGTTACATGAACTATCTTGGTATGCAGAATTTAGAATGTATGAAATGAGAGAGGGCAAAATTGAATGGAGGGTTGAATGAGGATGTTAATGATGATGCTATTTACACTATTTGTCAAAGTGTATCAGCTGATACCTGGTATTTGCTTATTTGTAAGATCTTTTGTCTATTCATACAAATGATTGTATGACCATACCAAATGTACTGCACAAATTTAACAGTGATCCACACGTTTCCAGAGAACTTTGAAAGTGCTTAGAAACATAACCTCAATAAATAGGGCACTATTGGCAAGCATCCTTACAGGAGACACATTTTAAAGCGGGACTGCACTACTTGTAGCTTCTTGCGCCCTCTATATAGCAAACAATTACAAGTGGTGGTTATCTTACCTGACTGCTAAGAATTCATAAATGCTTGTAAGTAAGCAACCAGATGGCCAACGGCTTAAGGTCCTCTCCAAGGGACCTGGTAATGAGGATTAATGCCCTACCAAAGGGCACTAGCGCATCGACTTGGTTTCAAACCGGGTCACCGGATTAAGAGACCACTGCTCTACTGACTGAGCTATCGCGCCTCCTAACCATGCCTAAGCGGTGCCCGTTGGTCCCCCATGATCCTCTTTTTCTTATGTCAATTAGGAGTTGATTTGATGCGATAACCATCTGTCAGTGACCTTGAAGGGAGGTCTAATCCCTCCTGGCCAAACTAGTGTAGACTGGTCTAAAGCATGCATGTAATCCATCACTATGATCATTGCTATCATACAACAGAATATCATAGATGTACTTGTAGAGTCAAACCTGTCTACAGCGACCTCCCAAGTGAAACACAAAAAGTGGTCTTTGTAGACAGGTTCCTTTTATGTTTCAATGAAAAACCATTTTCAAGGGAAACAAGAAATGTGCTCGTTGTAGACAGGTAGTCTTTGTCGACTGGTGGTCACTAAAGCAGGTTTGATTGCATTTGTATATTAATAATTTTCTTCTTTCTTTGCGTTGTATCAGCTTGGTGACATGCAGGTGAGATTCCAGCAGACCATCGATGCCCTCAACAACGAGCTGGAGATGATTCGGCTCCACAAGGACTACGTGGAGACCCAGCTGGACGAACTTGACAAGCACATCCGTGCAGGAGCCAAGCCACCCAGTCGTGTCATGTTTCGCTCAACGGGTACTAATCTCAACAGCGCAGGGGCTAGAAGCAACCATTCGGCCTATGGCAAGCAGTCCAGGCTGAGTGGAAAAGGTGAGTAGCTTTGTGGAACTTATACAGTCGAACCTGTCTATAGCAACCGCCCAAGGGAAACACAAAAGGTGGTCTTTGTAGACAGGTTCTTTTAGTACATGTTTCAATGACATCTGCAAGAATTTTCAGTAGTGAAGGAGGCAGATTAACCAGAAGAAGAAGAAGAATGAGAAACCATTTTCAAAGGAAACAAAAAATGTGGTCTTTGTAGATATATAGGTCGTCATTAAAGCAGGTTTGACTGTATATATGTGTTGTCTGAAGAATTTTGGGGGAAGGACGTCTTTGAACCTTGTGAGTACCATGTGCAAAAATATGAGGTTCAATATCAGTATCATGTGAGGCTTGTTAATGGTGAATTTACCTGATTGATTGATGAAAGCAAGTATGTTTTTGTGCTCACTTCTTTCTTTTTTTACCAACATTTTCAGAATACCATCCCTGGACGACTACCTTCTAGACAATTATTCTTCTACCTTTAAACAGCTAACCTATCAGAAAAACTACCATTCAGATATTTTATTTATAATGGGGATAAGTGGTTTATGCAAGGGTCACTCTGTGGCCTGGACCCACCCTCCTCAGGTCATCACCTTTCTTCACCTGAGCCAATTATTTGTAACCTCAGGGTTTCACCATCACTTCATGTGCTTTACAAAAAACAAAGGCAAAGCATCACTCTTATCAGCAAATGTGTTAGTGCAGGCTTCACCCTTTGAATTATTTGCATAGGTGATGCTTCACTTTTGTCAGTTTTACATAGGTGAGGCTTCACTTGTGTCAGTTTTCCATAGGTGAGGCTTCACTTTCGTAAGGCTTCGACTCGAGCGCACGGCACTGCTGTGGCGTAATACCTTTGTGGAATACGTCAACATTGAAATCTCGCGAAAATATAGGCTAAGTTTTATGCACAGATTTCGTTAATAATCAATCGTAAAACAGGGTCGGAGTAGTACCGTCTCAAAATGATCGGAAAACTCTGAACTTTCTATTTTTTTTCAACTCACCTCGCAAAAACTTGGGGCCAAAACTTGGCACGATCTGCGCTGCGCATGCTGGGTACAATACCGACAGCTCGTAGGCTACTAGTCTCGTTTCCAGACTTGAGGCTGGCCTTTCAGGCACGTATACTGCGAATACTCACGCAATTAGTTATGTGTAGGAGACTAGTAGACTACTCGAAAACGATCTCGTGAAATCTCGAAATCAGTTTCGCTGGAGAAAAGTTCGGTGACCTCAGGACGATCACTCTGCGAGTGCATGAGTGACCGGAATAAAAATTAAATAGTTGTTTTGAAACGCACGATTTCGACATGATTTCGACATATTTTCGACGCGACCGGTAGTGGCTTCGATGTCACATCACCTGAACAAACAAGGCGACCGATTGGATTCGATGTCACATCACCAGAAAAAACAAATTACTCGTCAAAGCTTCACACATTTCATCAATTTGTATAGTAAAGCTTCACCCAATGAAGAAAAACGAACGTTAGGACTTCACTACAACAACAAATAGGTCAGGGTCAGGCTTAGGCGTCGAGTCGACGTCGATATTTGGCGACCTCTGAGGAGGGTGGGTCCAGGCCACAGAGTGACCCTTGCATTAGGGAGGTGTTAATTTGAAAGGGTTGGTTTTCCCAAGAATATTTGTAGGTGGTGGTACGAGTCTTATAACTGTATTTATTATTAGACCCTTGCACAGTGCTGTATTGATTGATTATCTTTGATAAATCCAGAACATTTTCATCATCAATTTTATTACAGTCAAACCTGTCTATAGCGATCACCCAAGGGAAACACAAAAAGTGGCCTTTGTAGACAGGTGGTCTTTGTAGACAGGTTCCTTTAGTACATGATTTAAAGGTACTATGTCCCATTTGCAGGCCAAAAAAATGAAAGAGTTAAATTCCAACTGCATTTGAAAGATAATACTAATTTAGAACTTCCCTAAAAAAGGTGGGGCTTGAAAATGTCTTCAAGTGGGAAAATAACGACTATTAGTTGTCAAATCGACTTTAGGGCTATAGAGCCCAAAAGTAATAGTCTTGATTTTCAGACAATTGTACCGAATGGTCATACGTTTTATGCTGCGCAAAGATTCAATCAGTTTAATCTTGGCCATCACAAGAAGTGGGTTATTGATGTAGACAAATGCTCATGTACCCTTTACAACTCTTTTCATGTATGTTATTACCAAAGAAGAAAAAAAGCCAGTCAGTCACTCAATAGTGTCTGACAGTGAAGTCTAGCAAGTAAACAGGTTTCCTTGCATAATTTGAATATGAGGACACTGCTAACATTTAAATTTCACAGATAGGACATACATGACATATTCATAAGTCCTGCAAAGTTCTACAGCACATGAGGTTGGCTGCAAAAGGGACATAGTACCTTTAATGAGAAATCATTTTCAAGGGAAACAACAAATGTGGCCTTTGTAGACAGGTGGTCACTAAGCAGGTTTGACTGTATTATTATTATTATTGTCTTAATCAGAATCCACAATGTCAGTGAGAGGGGGTGGAGACAGCTTTGAGAGCATGGACTTCATGGGTGCTGAGATGGACCCGTTCATTCCACAAGAGGCTATCCTCAGCAAGTACTCTGTCATGGTCTATACATCCACCAACCAGAAGAAGACATTCCATGGGCTCAAGGATGCAAAGTTCTGTGCTAGCTGTGGGGAGAAGGTAAGTACAGTCAAACCTGCTTTAAGGACCACCTGTCTACAAAGACCACAATTTTTTGTTTCCCTTGAAAATGGTTTCTCATTGAAACATGTACTAAGGGAACCTGTACATAAAGACCACTTTTTTTGTTTCCCTTGAAAACAGTTTCTCATTGAAACATGTACTACTAAATGAACCTGTACATAAAGACCACCTGTCTTTAAAGCCCAATTTTCTTGTGTCCCTTGGGTGGTCTTTATAGACAGGTTTCACTGTATCGTACTTTCTCATCCTAAGTGTACCTCATTCTCTACAACAACCGTCTTGACCATTTAACTCCATCATCGGGACACTCCCTCTTATGCCCTTTCCCTTGTGGTATATGATTTGACAGGTCCTAGAGGATGGTTGTCCTAGGGGGTAGTTGTCCGGCCGGATACGGATTTGACAGCCGTGCTCTTTCGTTACCCCATTCCCTCTACTAGTTCTCTGTGATCTCCATCTTCACCTTCCCATTCATGCACCCAAATCCCTACTCTGAGCAAGTTGATCTCGTTTGGAGCAACACTTTATCTAGCAATTAAGTGTGACCGCAGTGTGGTTGGGAACACATTGTAATGTTGGGATGTTGACTATGGAATGGGAAAGCACATGTGCTCGTACTATTTTCATGTGATTGCATAAACTGTAGCCACAGAGAAAATCACAAAAAAATGGACACCTAGCTGTGTTAATTAGCATAGAGTTGATTGACACATATAGCATCCCAAACTGCGCTTACACAGTGAGTTCCCACTGCAAAACACTGTTTATCTGATAAACACTGTCTTTGTGAAAGGAAATTAATGGAAACAACAAGGCCAATATCTGCAGTATGACCTCCCAGCCGTAAAACTGTTGTATAATCTTTTAGAGAAAATAAACACAATAATTCATATCATTTTATTATGTCTATTACTCAATATTTTCCCACTTCATTACTCTGTACATGTCAGAAATACAAGAATACAATAATATACTACCTTTACCCCCCCCCCCCAAAAAAAAAAATATATATATATATATATATTACTAAAGGCGTCATTAGAGGGACATTTGGAGTGAAAAATGAGTCATTAAGTAGACATTGTGATTAGGAGGACAATTTGGTGTCCTCTTAACGTTTTTTACGTTTTATTTCTCGTAGAAGGCCCAATTTTGTTATATATCTCTCTATATATATGTAATTTCACTAAAGGCGTCATTGGAAGGACATTGGGAGTGAAAAAATGAGTCATTAAGTAGACATTAGGGTTAGGGTTAGGTTTAGGGTTAGGTTTAGGGTTAGGGTTAGGGTTAGGGTTAGGTTTTAGGGTTAGGGTTAGGGTTAGGGTTAGGATTTTTATGATGTCCACTTAATGTACCATGTAGAGTTATATATATATATATATATATATATATATCAAAAAATTGAGCCCTAATGTTATGCTATTGGCACTTTCTTGGATCATAGATTTTACGTCTTTCCTTCAAAACAAAGTCTCCATTTTTGTATTACTTTGATTGCAGACTGTGATCTGCCCCCACAAGGTGAGCAGCGAGAAGATCATCATCCTGCCTCATAACTGCTCTCACATCAAGCTCTCTAGACCGAGGGTTAGGATACAGTCTGAGCGCAAGGACAAAGAGTGAGTATGATCAGTAACTCCATACAAACTAGAAATGATAGCATTTGTTCAGAGCTAGAAGGGCATTAACTTCGTGTAAAAGCATATGAGTCAATGCCCTCCTTGTTCTCTACAGACAGGAGCATAAATGGGCAAAGGAATGAGGGAGAAAGGCCGACTGAAAAACAAGATGGATAGATTTGCATCGCTGAAGATAGAAGAATGGTTTATTTGAAGTTTTCTATAGAGAGAGTGAGGTGGAAAATAATATCTAGAAGACCCAATCAAAGTGTTGAAGTTAACATTTGCCTCTGTAATGTCTCAGTTTGTACAATCAGTGTTCAATAGGCATGTAGAGAAAAAGAATGCTTTCATTTTAAACTTAGTTGAGAGTGTCATTTCAGTCTTTGTCTTTTTATGATATTTTGTTTCCTTTTTTATGGTATCTTGTTTTCATAAGACAAGGCATCCATATATGTAGTTTATAGTTGAATATTTCCTATGTTGTCTGCAGATACCGCAAACCCCACCCACCGAAGAGCAAGAAAGGCGGACCCCAGTCGGGAACCACCGATGCCAGTGGGATACGGAAGAGCAAACAAAGGACCAGTCAAGATACTGGCACCCAGGAGGGTGAAGAGCAACAAGAGATGGAGAGACCTGAGGTGACGATAAGGCTACCTGTCGATGACCAGACAGATGAAGGGGCAGCAGGAGAAGAAGAAGGAGAGAAGGAGGAGGATGGGGAGAAGGAAGAAGGGGATGAGGAGGAGGAAGAGGAGGAGGAAGGGGAAGAGAAGAAAAAGGCTGCTGCGCAAGAGCAACAGGTATACATAAAATCAAGGACAAATTGTAAGATCAACAGATTTGTAGATAGATAATTGAATGAGGAACAGTACTACAGCTTTGAATACTGCATCTCTCTCCATGTACGTTAGGTGAGAAGATAACAAAGAAATATGCATCACTTTCTTAGATGACACCAAATGAAAAATGGAAGGAATTGTCAAAGGAATATGAATGTTCTATTATTGTCATCATTTTCTCCTTTTTTGTGAGCAGAATGGTTCACTCTCTTCATATCAGTCATTTTAAGACACTTTATTTGAACACCATTTACAAACTTCAAGATCAGAATTAATTATCATGTGCTTTTGTCTTATTGGGCACCATGGTATACTTTACTAAGCTTTCAATCAAGATGTTTATATAAGATAGTATTATTTACACGATGAAGATACATCATAACCCAACATGAGTAGATATTTGTCTGTAAAAATCTTATACCTGTTCATGTTCAAGTTTGATGGTAAAGTAAGTGAAGGGTAAAGGATATATATTTCTGCAAGCTTTCACAGGTGTTCCCTCTTCTCATTATCTTTATTCTAGGAGAAGCCTTTCACTGTACTATGGGATGACTACAAGGAAAGGACAGGTCAGACTAGACATGTACCCAGACCACTGGAATTGGTGAGTTCCTATTTTCATGATCTTGCCAAGTACTACAAGTAGTTTGTGTTCTGATAATGAAGAAAAGAAAAAAAAATACAGAACACAGCTAAAAGAGAAAACACATATCCATTATTAGATTTTAAGAAAAAGATAACATAGCTGATTAATACGCACAAAAAGTGAAATCATTGATACTACCATGATTAACATACAAATCGTTTATGCCGAATGTGCCATTCTTGTGTCTGTCTTTTGTCAGTGCTTTCAAACGAAAACCCAATTCCATGTACTGTCTGCAACTAGAGAAGTATGTCACTGTGTCTTCAGTACTCTCCTGTGAACACAAATGTCAGCAAAATTCTTGTCAGTACTTAAAAGTTCAACTATAGTCTATTTTTGCATCTAATTTGGATGCCACTGCTGCATTTACATCATGTGCTTTGCTTTATCTTCCCCCTTAAATGTTACAGAGGCGAGTGATGTCCATGATCTCTCAGTTCTACTCCTACGTGATGCTCCAAGATGATACAGCGGGCACTCCAGCAGTCTCCATTCTTGTAAGTAAAATGACATTGGTATTAATTGAGGGACAGAAAACTATGAGATCAGGAATAATTGCACCAAAGTTGAGGTGAATTCTTGAAAATATTTTTATGTGTAAATCGCTTCTTAGGATAGGATAATAATGATAATTATATCATGCATCAAAAATTTAGTGGCTTTTGATTGGTTGAGAGCTCGTCACGTGACCAGAAATAATTGATCTATTTTAAGGTTGCTCTGAAAAAGTATTATATGAGAGTACGATTTGGGAGTACTATTTGGGAGTTGAAAAAAAAAAATTTGGAATAGATTTTTTTTTTTTTTTTTTTTTTTCAAATCTTAATTAAATGAAAACAAAATATTTCATATCTTTTTTGATAAAAATTTAGGATTTTTTTTTTTTTTTTTTTTTTTTGTGATAATTTTTTGATGCAGGATGTAAAACAAATATCCCATGCCTTCTATTTGAGGTATTGGTTAAAACTTTGAGCCTCAGTGACTCCAAAAGTACCATTTGCTTCGGGGCTGTGCCCTTCAGCAAATAGTGCTATTGGAGTCCCTCTTGCGCATAGTTTTAACCATAACCGCTCAAGACCGTGTATATTTGTATACTATAATAGTCATAATGAAAACATTTTCCAGTCGCACCCCCCAAACCCTCCTCCGCCATATCTGCAAGTGTTTCATTTCACAGCTGCTATTGCAGTGCTTTTTATAACAATAGGTTTCCTGCTACCTGTCCATGCAGGCAAATAAAATGCTTGAGGAAGGACATTAATGCCAGGCTGGGAGACAAACTCTCAATCCCATGCTTGAATGTCACGTTAATAAACCATGCTACCACAGTATTGATTCTGTTTAATAAATGTGTTAATCTTTTTCATGAATTTTGTCTGGGGCTGTCATATTTTCAAGAAATCTGCTTACATGATAGTCCTTCTTCCGCAAATAATTGTAAAATTTTTGATAGAATTAAGTATTTATGACAGTTTACCATTTCGTTTGTGAAAAAAAAAAAAAAAATTATATATATATATATATTTACTTTTTTATGGTTCATTGTCAGAAAAATTCTACCGATAATTGTATTTTATATTACTATTGTTATCAAAAAACTGTGTACTTTTTCTGCAGAAGGAAATCAAATCAAATCAAATCAAATTGTGTTTCTGTTCCCGTTTGTGTGACCTTTCAAGGAAGCCCTGTACACTCATTTTGAGGAGCGTTACCTGATCAGAGAAGTGTCCTATCTGTGTATGCATGATTTCATCCAAGGTGTCATTGAGTATGCCCCTCAACACAAGGTCAGTCTTTAAGTTGAAGGAGTATTATGTAGAATGGAAGTGGATACAGGACAGTTTCTGGAATTTAAATGAATTTAATTGTATATATGGGGCCTGTCGCCACGAAATGAGTCCAGTTGGTCAAAAATTTTATTCCTGTTTTTAAGTATTATATGAATCTACATTAAGTAAGCTTTAAATTAAGGGGTCACACATTAAAATTGATAAATTATATCCAGAAATATGAACAAAAACCTAATTGGACTTTATAACAATGGGATTACCCAGTTTTGAGATAATTAGGTGTAAAGTTAATGATGCGTAACATATTATAGTCTGGTCAACAACAACATAGCAACAACACACTTCCCATCATTCGATTTCAATGAAACTTTCAACAAACAAAGAAATAATAAGTCGATTTTTGGAAATCACACTATACATCGCTATTACTACGATTGAGCCTAATGCAACACTGGACTCATTTCGTGGTGACTGGCCCCATATATATATATATATATATATATATATATATATATATATATATATATTTTTTTTTTTTTTTTTTTTTTAATAGAGCACTTCCTAGTTGATTGTTTGATTCAATCATATAGCTTCATTTTTAATTGACATATTCCACTCCAATAAGGAGCTTTTCATTTGGTCACTATTTTACAGGACAAACCACTTTGAAAAATGTTATCCTACTTGGTAACTATTTTACACCTGGAAGGCTGGATAGAGGGAAACAATGTAGATAAAATATCTTGCTTAGAGGAAAACCATTCTGTGCTTGGAATGAAACCATGATCTTTGCCTCCATTTAAAGACCGTCAACACTACTGGGCCAGAAGGGATTAGACCACACAGCGAGGTCACTGACCTGTGGCTATCTCATTAACTCAGCTCTCAACTAGCATATGAAAAAGCGGATCATGGAGGAACAATGGTCACTGATTGGGGAAGTTTTCTATAGAGAGGGAGCAAGTAGCTACAAGTAGGACAGTGGGGCTTTAAGTCCACTCAGGATAAACCACTTAAACTGCCACACCTCTCCTTGGTGAAATAAACAAGTAAACTTTAAATTTAATTCTTGCAAAATCTTTCACAATGACTGTTTGCAAACTGAGTATGGCAGGAAGTATTCAAGCTTATCTATACTATTTTATAGGAGGTATTAGACCACACTGCAAAGTCACTGACAGGTGGTTATCTCATCAAATCAGCTCTCAACTAACATAAGAAAAATGGGACCATGGGGGACCAATGGTCACGGATTAAGGCATTGTTTGCTATATAGAGGTCGCAAGTAGCTACAAGTAGGACAGTGGGGCTTTAAGTCCACTCAGGATTTTAACCCACTTAAACTGCCACACCTCTTCTTGGTGAAATAAACAAGTAAACTTTAAATTTAACTCACAAAATCATCCACAATGACTGTTTGCAACTTAGTGACTCAGGTAGGATCAAAGAAAGATATAAATTTCAAGATAAAGACCAGTTCTGGTCATGCGATTGCATTGTGAAAGAAACGTTGTGGAATCGATCAGAAAAGGTTGATTATCTAGCATATAAATATTGGTGTGTACTGCAAGGTTCTGGAATCATCAAAATGATACGAAATTTGGCCCAGTCTTCGTAAAGTTACAAGCATTGTACACAGAAAGATGTATACGCACAGGTGCGGGACACATGCGTTTATCTCTCACATACCAATAGATAAACTAATTTACCAAATATATCAATTAGTAGGTGGTTTAACAGCAAAATTGTTGTCATCGTGTATTAGTCAAAACATATTCTTTCACATGATTGGTAATAAGAGCTTCCATTTCATTTTTTGAAATTAGGGCGTTTTCAAAACTGGTCTTTACCTTTAACCAGTTTGAACACTCCTCTCCTTCCATCTCTTGCACAGTTCATCCAGATCTTTGCTCATGTGATGGTGGGTAACTTGGATGCTACCGTCTTCCGATATCTCCTCATCTTGACTGACTTGGTAGACCGGGTAGATTGGCATCACATAGAGGACTTCAAGTACTTCATCATGGCTGTCTATCCCTTCCTTAATGTGAGTTTATAAAACAATCATCCACCTTTGTTCTGATTATAGCATAGTTATAGTACTATCTGTATATGTGAATTTAAGTACGGTAGTAACAAAGTTATTACTTTGTAACCATGATGAAGAGCAAAACAGGATACATAGATACAAAATGAATCGTTTCCTTGGGGAGTAGTAATGACAAATGCTTGAAATGTTTCCTGAAGCCTTTGCTATGGTAAGTTGTGTAAAAACCTAATATATTTACGTAATAATCATTTAGTGTAGTAATTAAAATAAGATTAAGATTAAGATAAGATGCATCTAGCTTTAAAATGGGATAGAGGAAAACCTAATATGTTTACATCATGAACCATTAAATGCATTTCAGTTAATTTTATTTGAAATCGTTGCTACTCTGTTATATGTTCTTGTATATTCATATGATTTAAATTCTTTTTAACATCACCTTCATTTATGGAAAAAAGGGAAAATACATATAGTGTAATGCCAAGATTTGTAGAAAGAATTTTAATTTCTAATGTTTGATGTTCCATTTTCTGTTTCCTTTTATTTGTAATAAAATAGGAGGATGAATTAGACCAGCTTCATCTCGGATACACGTCCTTCAGTGAGAACAAAGTCACTAAGACACTCATCTTTGAATACTTCATGTATATCATACTCAAATACAGAGAACCTCGCTTCCAAGATGTAAGTCTATGTGATATTGCCATATTATTGAAATAAATGATAACTGAAGTAGACTGTATGTGAAATTGAAGGTGAGAATTTGATGAGAAGTTGCTTGATAACCTTACTCTTTGTGCTGTTCCATTGCATGATCTCCTCCTTCTTCCATTTAAGTTTAGATATCAAAGAGGTCCTGTGGAATAGTTCATAATTTATAACCCTCTTTGCATTTTGCTGTCTGACACATCTGCTGTTTATTAATCTACAAAAACTCAGTTGTATATTATGTTTCAAATGTGGACACAGTTTAGTTCTGTCTAAGGACCAGTGATGCAATGACAAATACACACAATGTCTTTAAAAATGGTAGAAAGCTTCCTGTGTTTGATAAGCACCTTAAAAAGAACCTGTTTGGCACCATGTAGCTTCCTCCTCCCCCTTCCCAGGCCACCATCCACTCAAGCTCCCTGTTTATAATGGATGGTCTACTACATTTATTTATTGTTATAATAATATAGTTAAATTATTGTCACATTTATATATTATGATTTTATAACTGTTCTAATGTCATTGTTTTCATATTTAAATGTTATTGTACAAGAATTTTCTTTGAATACTTAATTATTTATTTTATTAATAAATGCATAAATAAATCTGCCTTAAAAAAAAAGTTTAAGGACTTTATATCAGAGAGACACATTTATTATTAGTTATTATTTGAAAGATTAGTATGTAAGTGTGAGTGCAAGTGCTCTTTTCTTCATCATACAGGTTGAGATGAAGATGGCCCAGCGACCCGGCCGTGAGTTTGGGGTGATGAGTGAGAGAGAGTTTAACGAGGCAGCAGACGCTCTAGCTCCTCTCGCCAATGAAGGATTGAGAAACAGACTATTCCGGGAATCACTGGAGCACTTCAGCAAAGATGGTCGAGTGGCTATCAGTCGTCTGACGTGTATCCTTTTCTAGCATTTAGTTATAGATATTAGTGCATTTAAAGGGATCTGGTAACTTTGTCTCAGATTCTGAACCAAATCCTGGATTTAGCTCATGCTGCAATGATAATTATAAACCTTTAGGTCAGTCAGGAACACCATGACTTTTACAAGCCGATCGCCTGTCTGATTATCAAGATATTTATGATTGGAAACCAAAATCAATCTTTGCGTTTGTGGTTTTCATAACACTACAGTCTATTGGGAAAACGAGTATGGTAAAACCGGTCAATCAAAGATTTTTACTTTTTTGAGGCACTTGATCATTTTAAAGCGCGATTTGTTTTCAGGGCTTCAATATTATACCATATTACAGACACTGATAATACGTAGGGCCGTGCATCTCAGATTTAACATATTTAAACTATGCCTTTAAGGAGGATTGGAGATAATTGTTGCAAGTTTGGTGAACAATTTGACCAGGAATGTAAATTTTTAGATATTGCTTACCGGTAATCATTATATGCTATCATATTGAAAAAAAGATATGTTTCATGTTAATTTGTATTGTACTGATCACTTTATTCTTGAGTGATGTAAGCACAGAAATCAGTGTCCTAGCTGGCGAAACCCAGGGTCATATTCTTGCACAATGCAAGGTAGATATGACCATTATACAAGAAGGCAAGATTATATCTTATTATACACATTTGTGAACCATATTTCATATTACAATCAAACCTGTCTATAGCGACCGCCCAAGGGAAACACAAAAAGTGGTCTTTGTAGACGGGTTACTTTAGTACATGTTTCAATGAGAAACCATTTTCAAGGGAAACAAAAAATGTGCTTGTTGTAGACAGGTGGTCTTAGTAGACAGGTGGTCACTAAAGCAGGTTTGACTGTATGTCTAATTATCATCCTTGACTGTGACTGCTGATCAACACAGACATTGTGAGCTACTTGCTCCTGTATGGAATGGCTCCTCTCCTCCGGGAGAAGATCTCAGAGACCATGCAGGGGTTCAGACTAGACTCGGCCGACACCCAGTCCAGGACTAACCAGTCTAGAGGAGGCATGCAGTCCAGGGGAACTAACCTATCTAGAACAGGTGAGAGAAAAGGATAGATCACCATAATAAGGAAATATAATGTGTCCATGTTCACCCTTTCAATATTAACAATTTCCAAAAAGCTGATTTGTGTATATTATTTTCTATTGTATATTGTTTATGTGCTTTATCAATGCCAACAACTGAATTTCCAAATGGACCAATAAAATTATTCTGAATCCAAATTTCTGGCACCTTTTGGAAATTGTTTATATTGGAAAGTTAAACACGAACACACTTTATTTTCTGCTATGTAACAATATGAAAGTAGTTACAAAGTAGGGATCCTAATAGTTTTCACAGGTCTGTCATTTGTATTATACTTGATTTAATTTAAGGTAGGAAAAGTAACAGCTAATTAGAATTTGTGTAGACTTGTTACCATGCTGAAAGAATCGGACCAATATCTTTTGATAAAATTTAATAAAAGTTTTGTTTGTTTGTTAAACTGGATATTTGTTAATTCATTTTTCTCTAAATACCTATTATTTAAGTTTGATAATTGATAGTTTGATATAATCATCTTTTCTCTTGGAATATTATGGTTTAGAGTAAACTACAGTCATGTTAATGCCAAGGAATATGATACTAATGCCTGTTACTCATCACGTTATGTCTCCATGTCTATGAAACACAGGGCATAGCACTGAGAGACCAGTTACCATGGCAACTATGAGTGGAAATCAAGAGAAGAGTGATGAGCCACAGATTATCACTGCCTCACAGCTGAAGAACCTGGCCAAGAATGTAGAAAGGTACGACAGGATGTGCATTTATAAGCCTTCAGTCCAAAGCTGTAGTACAGTCAAACCTGCATATAACGACCACTCAAGGGAAACATGAAAAGTGGTCTTTATGTTCAGGTTCCTGTAGTACAAGTTTCAATGAGAATCCATACTCAAGGGAAACAATAAATGTGGTCTTTATAGACGGGTGATCTTTCTATACAGGCTGTCGCTAAAGCAGGTTTGACTGTACCAACATGTAGTTTTGGAGCAGTTCATACCATGGGGTAGCTACCTATCCTGTTGATAACTGGATTCTCTTATTTCCTAGGAATAACCAATTTCCAATTGGCCATGGGTTACTTCTCAGCCAATGCATACATGAATGAATGTCCTAAGGTTTTATCCTTAGGTATCTTTTGCTTTAGTATTGAACGGGTTAAAGGGACTTGGTAACATTGTTCAGATGAGAGATAGTGGTGCTAAGGTAGTGACTTCAATGCTAGATGTACAATTAAAGATAATCTGCAAATTTGAGCGAAAACGGACCATTATTCATGGTACAAATTGGGAAAAATTGATCCGATCGATTCCTTAATTCTCCCAACTATATTATTACAATTTAATTACATTTGAGGTGAACGGAAATCTCACAAAGCAAAAAATGGCTCTACATTCCATTCCAGACATTTAAGTGTTGACAGATTTTTTATAGCCTGTTTTTATGTCTTTTTTTCATGGAAAAACGGTTGGGAAAATTCAAAAAATGGTTGGGAGAATTTAGATTCAGAAGCGCCGCACACCGACGCCCGTTCGAAAACCCGTTGAACTTTGTTAAAAATCTTCATATTGCGTGAATTAATTTCGGATTTGGGGCATCATAGTTGGATAATCCATACATACAAACATAATTTTACGTGATTTGCATCCTGATTCAACAGATTTGTGAAATCAACCATCACAATGTTACTAAGTACCTTTAATGCAAATGTGCAGCTTTAACAACTGCCTCCTATCCCTTTTGTAGCATTGATCATTTGAACAATTGCCTTATATGACCTTTTATGTGGTAAAATGTTCACTTAAATGTTTGTTTCATTGTTGAATTTGGTTTGAAAATACAATAAATCTACTTGTTTTGGTTTAGGACAAGAAACAGAAAACACAACCCCCCCCCCCAAAAAAAAAAAAAAAAAATATATATATATATACAAATAAATAATAAGAAAAAAAAGAAAAAAATCAACATTTCTTAATCCAAACAGCTGTTCAGCACTAAGCAGGACTTCCACCACAGAATAGAAGGGATTCACAATTTTATATTTAAATGCAAATGCTCATGTTCATTACATCATTTACCTCTTGACATTTTCTGTGACTCTGTTTTGTAATTCTTTCTGTTTTCTTTTTGTCCTCCTACAGACGATCTCTGAATCGTGGCATGCGTCAGATCCAAGCCAACCCTCGGATGGACATAGACGATATGCTTGGCGACGGTGAAGCCTTTGATGAGCTGGCAGAGTTTAGCAACAGTGGACTTTTGATGATTGGACCAGACTAAACTACAGTTTAGCAACAGTGGACTTTTGATGATTGGACCAGACTAAACTACTGTAGTCAAAATGAAGTGGCACATAAACCAGGCCCTGAGGAAGAACAGCATTAAATCTAACATGAGGGGTGTTTCACAAAGATCTTAATTAAGTTAACTTATCTCTAAATTGCACTTAACAATATTATTATGGAAATCTGTTCGCATCCTTGAAAATATTATTATTATTATTATTATATTATATTCTATTTTCAAGGAGATGTCATGTTCTTGATACAGAATTTATGAAAAGTCTAAAATACTTGAATTTTTGTACTAGTTTACTGGAGGGATTAGACCACCCTGCAAGGTCACTGGACAGGTGGCTATCTCATCAACTCAGCTCTCAATTAACAAAAGAAAAAGAGGATCATGGAGGAACAATGGTCACCGATTAGGCATTGTTTTCTATAAAGAGGGAGCAAGGAGCTACCAGTATATAGGACAGTGTGGCTTTAAGGCTACAAATGGCTCTCCATAATGTTTAAGTCCAACTTAGAGTTAAGTTCAACTTTAAGGATCTTTGTGAAACACCACCCTGGTCACAAAAGCACCAGACTTTGAATTTCTATTTCAGTGCATACACGCCCCAGCTACCACCTTGAATCCTTTGGAAAGAGGATTGTCATTTGGCCAGATTAATTGGACCAGGATGTTCATTGTTTGCTATCAAAGAAAAGTAATCTTGAGCCAAGTGATTTAGGGTAATGCCAAGCAAGCAACTTAATTACTCAAACGTCTAGAAGTTATACATCCTGCTAATGACAAAACATTTTGAACAGAAGGTTAGATGGAGAAAATGGAGGGATAGACTATCAGTATATACTATCTAAGGTGTCATTGAATTGCTCATTTGATTGTGTTGTTCTGCATTAGTAAACAGTTCAGTCAAGAAGCTGGGATTGAGTAAACACATAATGCTATGAAAAGAAGATTTCTTCAGCTGCTCATAAAAATAAAATTGTACAATTCTATATTTTTTTATTTGTACTTGAACAAACTTTTTGTGAAAATGAATATTCAATTTGTACTTCTAATAATATTTTGATAATCATCCATGTTCATGTACTTTAAAGGGAAAACAGATTGTTAACTTGACAAGACTGCCTTTTGAAGATGCTTTTGAAATATCATAGAAAGTTATTCAGTATAATCCGTCCAACATGAATCTGCCTTATTTTGTAAAACATGACAATAGTATACAATAGTGTAATTTTTTAGAACAGGAAACGTTATACTATATCATTTATAGATATTTATAAAGTCATTTTTATTTTGTAAATTTAAAAACAAATATTGCTGTATTATTGCTGTATATTTGATGTGAATAATTTTTGTGTGATATTATAAACTGTTTGTGCAAAGAGTGATACAAATAATTTTGTACAAAAAAATAATGAAGATGTACTTTTGTGTCATTTGTGGACTATTATTTTGCTTGTATGAAAAAGGGAGGAAGAGAGAGAGAGAGGGGGAAAGGGGGAGGGAATGAGGGAGAGAGAAAGAGAGAGAGAAATATAGCCAGAGTAAATGAGATTGGGAAAGACTGGATATGATGAAAATTTAATGTAAATGACATCAACATTAAATGAGCCTCTCCATCTAAATTTGATATTTGTGGTTGTGGATTTAAATTAAAGTGAGATATGATGAAAATTTAATGTAAATGACATCAACATTAAATGAGTATTTTTGACAGAAAATGTATTTTCCATTAAAAAAACATGAGGAAAATAATATTCAATGGTTAATATGAAATAAATGGAACTGTTTTTGAATGATATTATGTGAACCAAATCAACTTTTATAAATTGCAAAATGACTGATGGGTTCTTGCTCATTACAAATTGGGTACTTGTCCCTTTTCCAAGGAATCATTCTGATATGCTTTTGAATACTGGTTTGCCTGATTCCTGCTAATTTCTTAACAACATCTGTCCATTCTGTCAACGTTCATTTGAAAATTTTCCCCCTTTCTTTATGTCTCCCTATCTCTGTCTTGGCCTTTCTCTTCTCTCTCTCTCTCTCTCTCTCTCTCTCTCTCTCTCTCTCTCTCTCTCTCTCTCTCTCTCTCTCTCTCTCTCTCTCTCTATCTCTCTATCATTTCTCTCCAACTTTCTGTATTCAACTTTCTCATCTCATTTCATGCAACTACTTCTTTTCTCTCTCTCTCTAATGATAATAATAGCTCACATTTATGATACGCCTAATACTTTGTATCTAGGAGCTGCACATATTTATTACCCCGGTCATCAGATTTAGGCTAATCCGCGTCTTCCGCGACACGATGTATTATGAATTAAATAATTTGTCTTTTGGTATATTTTTCCTTCCATGGCAATAAATGTAGCTTGGCTTGCGTTTTCCGTCCCCAAAGCCGAATCTATATAAGGGGAAAACTTATTCGCGGATATACCTTCTTTGAATGAAAAGGGGTACACTGGTGTACTTTTTTTTTTAATGGCCCAACTCGTGAGAAAATAATTAGCGGCGCATATGCGGGGGGGGGGGGGTGGTAGTGAGCACTATTTTTTTTTAAAACTCAACAACCCCCCCCCCCCCCTGGAGCACAAAAAAGAAGGTAAAATACTTTTTTTTTCCTGCTCCTCCCTTAAAAAATAGAAGAAAATTAAAAGAAGAAGGAAATAATGATATACAAATGGGGAAAAAAGGAAGACAAAAAGGATAACAAATAGAATCCCTTCCACATTAAAAAAAACAAAACTTTGTGACTTTCTTTGGTAATGATTTGATCGGATCTATCACGTACCGTGTTTTGTAGGTCAAATTGTGTTTGTCTTAAATACGGTCTCTCTACAATTCTATATGCATACCAAGTTTAAAGAATAGCCCTTGCTTTCTTTGAAGGTAGTCTAGAAATTAAGAGCCGAATGTACGAAATGGTATAAAATTAAATATATATACCGAACTATAAATCGACATATATCCCTCTCCATCCAATCTCATATTTTCTTGCAACTTTTTGTTTGTTATTTCTTAATGAACCTGTAAAGGAAGAAAAAAAATCATTCGTAATATTCCCGCAATAATTATGAATTTATCACTGGAAAATTACGCCAGGATACTAAACCTCGTGCAAATGGGTGGTGATGTCTAAAGCGTCTCTTGTCGATCACTTTTTTTTGCCATAGTACTCTAATAATAGCATGAAAAGAGCAATATGTTACTCAATATTACATGTTAATCATTTTATTTAACGAATGCGAGACATTCATCCATCCCTCATACTCAGCTAGCATCAGCTAGCATCACTTTCCGTTTGTGAAAGACCATACAGCTGAATAATGTACTCGATCATAGTCATAATTACATTTTAGTTTCGACGTTTATAATATATAAACAAACACACGTCCTTTTTACAGTATAGTTTGGCCACGACTTATAAGGACAATAAACAACGAAATAACGTCGTCCCTAGTTTATACTTTATAGAGCCTATATTTCACTTTTGTGTAGACTTCTTTGCTAATTGTATTCTGGCAGTAGTAGCATTGTAATCATATACCGGTACTTTTCCACTATTTGTATTTCTGCCTACTCACTACGACCTTCATACCAAACCAGCTGTGCGCGCTAGTGAGACCAATTATGCAATACCGTGTGAGAATTCGAGACAATGGACCAATCGAAAAGCGTCGCGCTGAAATTCAAACGTTCAATGCACAAACGTGCAAGTAACAACAGTATTAGTCCGCGAGTGAACTTGCATTTCAAGATATATTGTTTGCCTTCAAATATTCATCTTTAATTTTCATAAAAGGAAGTTTATAGATACAAATAATCCCCCGTTAGTTTAATTTCCAGAAAATTAGCCACAAAGACTGATTTTATCCACAATTCCCACGGGAGTTACTTTGTTTTTATGGAAGAATACATATATCACCGGCGGTGATCCACACGTAATTTCAGTTTAGTAAATTACATGGCCGTATAGCGTACCCCCGACGGACTGAAAGGTATGTGTAAAAATGTGAATATTCGAGCATGGATAATGTTTTTTAATGAAATGTTAGTTCAAATGATTTAGTGTAGTGTCTGTGAAAATTATAAGGGCTTGAGATTTGGGTTTATTGCTTTGCTCCTCGTCAAATGTCGCTTGTATGATTGAATGAATGCTGCCGTACAGTGGAAGTGAGTGCACGGCATTTGCAATGCCAATGACGATGACAATGAATGAAAAGACAGTGGACCTCCGCCGAAGCGAGGGGACGCGACGCCATAGCTAGGGCCAGGGCCAGGCCAGGCGACGCGACCAAAGCTGGAGTCGAACGGCAAAAGTAAAAACAAAGCTTCTCCATCTGAATTTGATAATGATATTGTGGATTTAAATTAAAGTGAGAGATTGAGGGTGAACTTGATTAATTCGAGTCTTGACTGAGCGTATCTTACCTGGCTTCAGCGTTGACTCTTCTGTTGGAAATTGATTTTCTTTATTCATTGATTGGGACGTCTGGTTTTGTTTTGGTTTTTTGTCACATTTTGCACTGCAAATTTGCCATTTGATCGGAGTTGGTTTGTCTGAAAAATCTGATGACTTTGTCTTGCTTGTGTCAGGATGTTTTTGTACTTTGTTTTGAGTAAGACAGTCAGAAAAAGAGTTGATGACTTCTCGACAAGATCGAGATGAGTAGATCTGTAGATCTAGACTAGACTTTCTAGATCTAGTCTAGAGTCTAGATCTACTCTCAATATAAATCCCCCTAGAGTGTCTACTCTATCCTACAGCCCTATGCATAGCTACCGGAATGTCTACGAAATGTCAGAATTTGCAAATGCAAACAGGTTCAGAATATATCCAGATGTTAAATGTCCGGACAGGTTACTTGTGGAATCGATCCTGATAATTGTTTCAAAACAAAATTTCTTAAAATCTTCTAAGATTTATGTTGGACAAAATAATACAGGTACTTATAGACCTAGATCTAATGGTTGTTGGTTGGTGCCATTCAGTATTTGATGAATATTTGATTTTCATGAAAACCAAAGGCAAAACAGAGGGCTTTATGTCTGTTAAGTGACACCCAACCCTCCACCAGGCATAAAGCCATAAACCAGACAAAACTATTTTGAACTTAAGATGTAGTCTAAAATATGGGACAGACATACAGCTTATGTTGTACTCATTTTATGATGCAGAAAGACAGAGAAAGAGAGAACTTAAGTTTCCAGTCATTTAATATTTGTAGAGGGTGCAGTCTCAACTATGAATCCCAAAGAAAGAAAAATAGCATAATAATTCATGATACCGTTAGTCATAATTATTTCAGAATGTCACTTTCAAGGTAAAATTCACTTCAAAAATTCAAATTTTAAAAAAAGTTATCTTGTGCAGACTCCTGGTATTGCTTTCTAAAAACAACATGAAATTTGTTTAAATAACATTTTAGTGGCTTCCATTGGCTGACTCTACCTTATATCCCAATTATTTGTTGGAAACAAAGCTAAAGTTTATTAGTTTATATTTATCCAACAAGCATACTTATGAATAAAAATGATGATTAGTATGTTTACAATTTACAAACAACAATACTTATGGAAACTTTTTCTTTACTATCATACAAATCAAGGGCTATAGCGTAAATAACTTCAAATATACAGTCTTTAGCGACTAAAAGAACCACTTTCTTGAGTGGTCTTTATACAGGTTTCACTGTAATCAAGCTCAACCATATTTAAATACCTGTTTGAATTTATATACACCTGCCAGGGCATTGAGGTCAGCCAGTGATCCTCTCCGTCTCACATATTCAGTTACCCGCACATTAGCTGGTGATAGGACATTTACTGTATCTGCTTCAAAATGTTGGAATGATCTACCACTTAGAATCAGGCAGTCTCCATCGGTTATTACCTTTAGAAAGGCCTGAAAAACACATCTTTTTTGCAGTTTGTAGTTGTAAGACTGTTTTTTCTAATTATATGTATTTATGTAATTTTTATCTTCATTCATTGTAAGCGCTCTTGGCCTAATGGGAAAAGCGCGGTATAATTAATAATAATATTATTGCTTTCTGGTTTTCATTAAATTATAGTTATATTTAATCTTTAGTTTATATGATGAAGCTTTCAATGACATATAAAATGTTTCCTTCATGTTTTGTTTTTCTACAGGTTAGGATTTTCAGTCAGGCTCCATATGAAATAATAGGTCAAAATGACGCTGCACGGAAAGATTGTAGTGATCAAGAGGAACAATGCTGATGGTGCCCATTTTCCATTGACGGCCGAACAGTGTTTGTTTGGAAGGTAACAACATGGTGTAATCACAGATCATATCAAAATGATTTTAAGAAGAAAATGCTGATTGGTTGGAAGGCCAGATGAATTAAATTAAAGGGAAAGTAATAAGCAGAATTACCCAGTGGCCACATGGCTATTTCTCATGATGCTTCCACCACAAGCCACAATGTATCCCATTCTAGACGAATTTTATATTAAAAAACTTTGCCGTCTGTCATACTATCGTTTTTAATTAGGTGCCCCTAGACTAAGGAAAGAGAAATGCCCCACCCAGACTCTCAGTTACTCAAGATTTGAGGCAATTTAGTTTGGTAAATAGGCACATTTTTATGATAGAATTCAATACTTTATATTCTTTGTTTTCTATTTAACAAATTTCTGAACATATACTTTGAGTTTTAATATGAGCTTGATCAATCATTGACATGTTAAATTAATCTACATCATCATGTTAAAATGTGAACTAATATATATATTGTTTCTTGATGTCTCTTTGTTGCAGAACTAATGAGTGTGATATCCGCATTCAGTTGCCCAATGTGTCCCGTGAACATTGTAGGATTGATGTACAGAAAGATGGAGAGGTAAGATATTCTTCTTTAAAATTACTGAAAATCTTACTCTAAACCCCTGAATCAAAACATTTTTAAGGCCCTTCTAAAGTGTTGGGAGCCCCACAAATTTGACTTAAATTGTTTCATAATTTGAAAGAGGGATGTCATTTAAGACACATTTCTGCAAGGATTTTCAAAACAAATGTGTTTGAAGTCGAATATTGATGAAAGAATACAAATTTAGGTTTTCTGCATACAACAGAAAACCCAAATTATGTATTCTATTATCAATATTTGTCTACTCGTAGACACTTTTTTTAGAGGGGAAATCTTTGCAGAAGTACTGTATGTCTTAAATGGCATCTTCTTTCACATTACGATAGAATTTAAGTGATATTTTGCCACCACAGTTTTGGTGAATTTGGGGCTCCCAACACTTTAGAGGGGCTTTAACACAGGGCTCATCCCAATAAAAAGAGAAGATTTAGAAGGCAGCAGAGTCAAAAGAGTCAAAACCTCCTGAAGACCATCCCCCAGCATCATGAAGCCTGGCTGAGATTGTCGCTCATACTGAACCTAAATATTGTAATATGGATCTCGTACAAAGAAAGTTTCCAATTTCGATAGAGCCCTACATACAATGTAATATGACCACCTCACAAGTGATGATTCTCATTATGATCATTATGAATATGTTGATGCGCTGTAAGACCATAAATTTTCACATGACTTGGGTGTGGAATATTCATGAATTTTGCAAGTGGTACATATTCACACAAAAGTAATGATTCCAAGACACACAAATTTGCTTATGTGTCCCCTTGTAGGTAATGTAGAGACCGGCCATCTGTCAATAAGGACCACAGTTTGTGTTTCCTCAAAATGCTGTTTCTCATTGAAGCATATTTTACAGGTAACCTGTACATGAAGATCACATTCTAAGTCTCCATTATATGGCCTTTCTAAAAGATTTGGCTGCAATTGACAACACTGATTTCTTTTTTGCAATTTGTGAAAGTTCCTGGTGATACAATAGAACAGTAAAATGCTTACCCGACAAAACATTTAACATTCTATTATGTGTTGATCTTGTTTTTTTCTATAGGTACATCTGGTGAATTTGAGCCAGGTCAATCCCACTCTCCTGAATGGCAAGGCTGTCATGGATAGAGAAACTGTGCAGCACAAAGATGTCTTCACTATCGTTGATAGGTCTTTCAGGTATGTGCAGTGTGTGTGTGTGACTTGTAGGGTATTGATTATACCTTGTGCTGAGATCCAGAAGATCGATAACTGATTTACTTTTACATAGAGTCAGTTCACAATTCTATGGATTGCTAGGTTTCATCTTCCTCCTTCACTATTCATGACAAAGATAATCTACCAAAGACTTTGTTGAAATTCATTTCATACTCATTATCTTTTTCTTCCCGTTTCATGGCAAAATAAATTTTTTGGACACTTTACATTGCACGATTAAAATAGTCTGTACAGGGTAAATGAGTTGGCAACAGGCACTCCATAAAAGTGCGTACTAAGTTAAGCCAGGCTTAACTTAGAACGCGCTATCGGAATACCACCCAAGGACCTTGTTGCTCTCAGCTGAAAACATGACAATGGTTTGCTTCAAATCAAATGTCTGGTTTAACCCTGTAAAAGGTGATTTTGACGACACTTTATAAAGTCCCTGGTGCTCAGTCACCTGTGACAGAAATAGTATTCAGGGAGGTTATCATTTGACAGAAAATAACTCACTTTTTATCACAAAATACATTTCAAAGTCATATTGGTTACAAATTTTTTAATTAGGAGCTACCAAAGTTGGATGCACTTTTTTATACTGTATACATCTAAAGTGGCCTAGGAATTATTGCTAACTACACATTCATTTATTTTCATATTCACAACACTTCTTTATTTACAATGCATGTGGGGAAAATTCCATTTTGGCTGTGCACTGCTTGTCGTCTTTTTATGCTGTACACTTGTAGTACCTGATAGTTTCAAATGTATTGATTTATATGAAAGATATGTATGAGTGCAGTCTAGGCAAGAAAGTTTAATTTACTAAGCAATTTATTTTCTCTGCAGGGCTTTGTGATATGAAGTCAGTGTAGATGCTTATGGAAAAATGTATTTAGATTGTATCAACAGCTTAACACGCTTCTATCTTCTATGTTGTTCTTGTGTGACAGGTTTGAATACCCTCCAGGTTCTGGCCGCAGGAATTCCCTCAATCCGGAGGTCCAGAGCCCAGTAATCTCTTCCACCACCACCAAGCCACCCTCTGCAGGTGGCGACACACCACGCTCTTCAAGGAAAGCTGCAGGGAAGGCCACAACACCAGATCAGAAGAAGGCAGCTACCCCTGCCAAAGGCACACCCAAAGCCCCTACAGCAACGACACCCAAATCAGGAGCCACAGCCAAATCACCTGCGGGACCTAAGACACCCAAGTCTGCCAAGAAGGAATTGCCTAAGGCTGTTGCTACAACACCTAAGGCTAAATCACCTGCCGCTCCTAAGACACCCAAGTCTACCAAGAAGGAATTGCCTAAGGCTGTTGCTACAACACCTAAGACTAAATCACCTGCCGCACCTCAGACACCCAAGTCTGCTAAGAAGGAATTGCCTAAGGCTGTTACTCCAACACCCAAAGCGCCTGCCACTCCGAAGACTCCAAAGTCTGCCAAGAGAGAAGCTCCCAAGCCTACAACTCCAACAACTGAAGAACCTGCCGCTCCTAAAACTCCCAAGTCGGCTAAGAAGGAATCCCCAAAGGCATCAGCTACTCCAAAAAGTAAGTTCATTATTTCTTTTTTTAATTGTAGGAACTTGCTTCAAAGTTAAAGTATCATGGCTCTATCTTAAGTTTTTTATGTTATGGTTGCATGAACAATGACTTCACTTGATGAGAAGAAGCTCAGAAATACTATACCAACATGAATTTAAAGTGACAGTTTTGATCTTTGAATTTTGCTAGTAAACTAGTTAAAATAGGCTTGAAATTATTCTTGATGTCAGGGTGGAAATTTAAACAAAGTTGTAAGTGGCTGGAAAATTAGATTTCAAATAAAATTTGCTTTTTTGTAAAGCTTGGGATAGCCAAGGCTTTGTCTTTTAAACAGTAAGAATTGATTCAGTTGATCGTTACTTTTAATCAATTTCTTCAACCCTGGTACTACATGTAAATAGATAAGAGTTTGTAAGTTTGTTATTGATTATAGAACTTGTGATCAATCTGGATCAACTACAAATTTGTAAGTTGGGGCCCGGATTATGATCTTGAAGAAAGTTTTTGAGAGTTAAACGAATACGATAAGCTAACAAAAATTCTTAATTCACGAAAATCATATTTCTTTACTGAAGGCAAGACACCAGCGAAGAAGACTCCAGTGAAGGTCTCCCCTAAGGTACCGACACCGAAGAAGGCTTCACCAGCCCCTGCTAAGAAGGCTAGTCCTAAGAGTGTCAAGACACCAGCTCCAGCAACCAAGAGACGCAGTGGATCCCTCAGCAAGAGTGGAGGAAAGGTAATATCGGATGGCCATTTGCCTAATCCTGTTGCTTATTTCATAAAACTTGATTCAAAGCAAATTACTTTTTCAAAACCAAGACATTTTATTTGCAGATTCCTAAGTATCATGCTTATATAGATAATGGAATCGTTGTCATTATTTGACTTTCAGCCTGAAAACAGCCGTTGATGCCAGTGAGCAAAAGTTTATAGTTATTACCTCAACTAAATTACTAATATGAGCCAATCAAATACCATGATGTTAGGATCTTTGTATCATTTGTATATATTTTTAAAATAAAGAACAAGTCTTAATAATTGATTGTGTATGAACAGAGAAAAAGTAGACATCTTTACCTTTCAGTGAAAAGAAATGACCCAGTTGAACTAAATAGATATTGCAGAAGGAACACAATTCAACTATTGTTATTTATTTCAAAATAGCATCCACATTGATTCACAAATGATTATGAAGTGCGGGAAGTTGTGAAATGATTTCCAGCAAATGGAGTAGACTGATTCAGAAAGACATTTGAATTGTGTTTATGCTTCTAAATTTCCTCTCATCCATGTGATTCTACATTCTATTAATTCCTCTATGAGAACCATATTTAAGACAGATAGCCTGTTTGTGATAACTGGGCCCGTTGCACAAAACTTATCATTGATGGTAACTTTGCCATCATTAGTAGTTACTAACCTTGTTTTTGATTGGCCGTGATTCCTGTTACCATAGCAGTTGCCATTGATGGCAAAGTTACCAATCAATGGTAAGTTTTATGCAACGGGTCATTGATTTATAAATCATTAAAACCTCAAAAGAATTATGCATACCATTATCATTCAGAAAATCAATACCTGAAAGACTTTGTTTGGGACTGACTGACTTATTATTTGAGTATTTTTGTTAAATGTATCGAAAAGAATAAAGACAAAACACATTGCTCTGCGACAGTCTGTGGGCATGAGTCAGTGTCATAATAGAAACATGACATATCCTTCGACTATTTATTAGCTATTCATTTGATTTGCTTAACCTTTGACTGATATACATTACATTAACAACTGTTACAGCTTTTTGGTCTTGTTTAAAACTTTGACCATTTGAATTTGATGTTAATCAATGAACGTAAGGTGTAGTTTGCATTTCAACCCTACCCTTTTATTCCTGTGAATTAGATGACACCATTCGGTAGTCCCCGTGTTCCCCAGACTACCCCTCTGAAGAACTCCATCAGCCAGCTGAGGCGTCGATCTGCCCCTGTCAAAGAAGAGGAAGAAGGTGTGTCTCCTGCGAAGAAGGCCACACCCAAGAAAGCAACACCCAGTAAATCCCCTAAGGCTCCAACTCCCAAATCTGCAGGTACTATGATTTAAGAGAACTCTTGTATGTTTGTACTTTTCGTAACTGATGATACTCAATGTATTGATGGATGATAAACAATAAATAATATCATTAGTTTGTTGTGAGGAAAAAAAGCAGCTTGTATGAAAAAAAATAAGATACAGAAACTATTGCTGTTAGATCCTTTTCAAAGTGTAGAGAACCATCCCTCCAATATTTGCTATGACTAGGCTGCAGGGTCATTATGAGTTACATGATATGTCATGGAGTTTGATGATTTCATAGATGTCTATATTTGTGTCCACTGGTTTATAAATAGTTATTTTACATCAAATAAGGATGTATATTTGTGCACGACGGTGACAATAGGGACTTTTAGATTTGCGTGGACTGATACGTGTGACGTCCATTCAAGGCAGTGCATTAAAAGGACGTCGATCGTAGCAATCCCCATTGTCTTCGTGCGAGTATAAAAGTCCCTAATCTTTAGACCCCTGAAGTCATAAATAAGCACCATTTGAAAAAGAAAAACGGTTATCTTTAATTCTATCGTAGGAATGATATGATATTGTAATGGTTTCATCTGTGGCTCACAGCTGTACTGTAATTTTGTTCTACTTAGTATAATGTACCTATAACATTCCATATCTACCAAAAGCAGAGAGAAAATTCAGCAATGTTCACATTAAATCATAATTAATGTTTGTTTTTTTTATAGCCAAATCTGCCAAGAAGACACCATCATCAGGTAAAAAACGCAAGAGTAGCGTAGAGGAAGCACCCGATGCCAAAAGAAAGCGTGTCTCATTTGGTCCTACCCTGAGCCCAGAGCAGTTTGACAAGTACCTTCCTCCGCTCACTCCAATCAAACGTGGACAGTCTCCTGCCAGGAGGTCTCTCGGGAGTGCAATCACTCCTAAAGGAAGAGCCGCCTACAAGAAACGTGCATCTATCGCTGCCATCGTCACCCATCCAGCCATCCAGGAAGAACCCAGCCCTAAGAAGTCTCCTGCCGCTAAGCCTAAAGCTTCCCCGAAGGCGGCTACTCCAAAAGCATCTCCAAAGGCTTCACCCAAGGCTGCTACTCCCAAGGCTTCTCCTAAGGCAGCAACACCAAAAGCCTCTCCTAAGGCTGCAACCACCAAGGCTTCTCCTAAGGCAGCAACACCAAAAGCCTCTCCTAAGGCTGCAACCCCCAAGGCTGCTACACCCAAGGCTTCTCCTAAGGCTGCTACACCCAAGGCAGCAACACCAAAAGCCTCTCCTAAAGCAGCAACTCCAAAGGCAGCGACGCCAAAGGCAACACCTAAAGCTGCTACCCCTGTTGCACCCAAGGGAAGGGATTCACCTAAGCGTTCACCGAAGAGGCCAGCAGCATTAGCAGATGAAAGTTTCACAGGCCTCCCGGAGCTCTTCAAAACACCGTCACCACAGAAGGTTAGCCGCGTCAGCCAAGGGAAGGTCACCAAAGTCACCCCACAATCTGCATCGGTTGTGAGGAAGATAGCGACGCCAATGAAGGAGGAGATCAAGAAAGCAGCAGAGTCTAAGAGACGAAGCCTCCCAAAGTCCATCCCACAGCACATGAAGGCTGCGATTGTAGCTGAAGCAGCCCTGAGACAGCAGAGACGACCATCACCTAAGAAAGCTATAAGCACCCCTTTGAAGGCTGCTATCAAGAAGGTAATGTACATTTTGTCTTTGGTTATTGATGATTTACCTTAAAGTGTACCAATCACTAAAACATGTTTTGCTCTTTTTGTGAGGGGTTCTATGCGGAATTACTGCATTAAAATGTGAGCTTCAAATCTTTATTCTACAAAAAGATTTTTCAATTTAAATACATTCTCAGTGAAGAGTAAAACGTCTTGTTGAGTAGACTAGTTAATGCATACATAGGCACTCGCAAAAAAATGGGCGGGAACCAAAGCCTGACTTGGGTTCCGTGCTACTGCTAGCCCATACACAGGGTTTTATGTTATCCTTTTTTTTTTCTTCATGCCCCTTTAAATGTTAACTCTATAAAATGCCAGGTAATGTAATTTTTTTTTTTTTTTTTTTGGGGGGGGGGGGGGGGTTGATGATTTTATACATTCTATCTCTGATGACTGGTACTCTTTAATTATATGCTTGCTGGTAAGAAATGTGATACTTGAATACCTTCACTAACATTATAGTTCTCAAATTTCTTATTTAATTAAATCAATCCTTCTGAACTTATAGTATGGTTCATTTAGTTTCTTTTTTTTAATTATGTGATTCATTTTGGTAATCAAAAGCAAATTTTCCCTGTCTTTGATATTTCAGGGTGTACAGCTCAAGAAGGCATCTCCAAAACCCACAACCCCTGCTAAGAAAGCGAGCCCGAAGCCTGTCACTCCTGCATCGGCCAAAAAGACCCCCTCTAAACAGAAGACACCAGTGAAAGCTGTTACACCAAAGGCCGCTACCCCCAAAGCTGCCACACCTAAGGCTGCAACCCCCAAGGCTGCTACACCCAAGCCAGCTACTCCAAAGGCTGCAACACCCAAGCCAGCTACTCCAAAGGCTGCAACACCTAAGCCAGCAACTCCCAAGGCTGCTACTCCTAAGGCTGCTACTCCAAAGGCCGCTACACCTAAGCCAGCAACTCCCAAGGCCGCTACACCTAAAGCTGCCACTTCAGCCAAGAAGTCACCTGCATCAGCCAAGAAGACTCCAGCAAAGTCAGTAGCCAAGAAGACACCTGCCAAATCTGCCATCAAGAAGACCCCAGCAAAGTCAGCTGTTAAGAAGACACCTGCCAAATCTGCTGCCAAAGCTAAGAAGACCCCAGCAAAGTCAGCTGTCAAGAAGACTCCAGCCCGCTCCGCCTTGAAGAAGACACCAGCTCGTTCCGCTCTGAAGAAGACACCAGCCAGGAGTGCCATCAAGAAGACCCCAGTCAGACCCAAGTCTGCTCGTAAGCCAGCAGGGAAACCTACCTGGGCTGACATTGCCAAGAGAGGTGCTGCTGTCAAGTCCTCCAAGCCTAGCTGGACTGTCAAGTGGGCTGGCAAGGCTAAGGCTAAGGCTATCACAAAGAAGGTGCAGAAGGTGCGAAAGCTCAAGGCTAAGACCCCCAAGGTAATTGAAATTTCTTCTTCTTCTTCATTATTGAGAACATACCTCTTTAAAGAGTATTATCGTACCATACTGGGGTGTATGCAGGTAGACCACTAGACCGGGGCTTCCCCCACTCTTATACGAATAGTGTCATGGGTTCTTAACGTGCAAAGGTAGTGACTCTTCTCTACACGGGCCTCCATTTAACGTCCTATCCGAGGGACGGAATGTTTTTCACTTAACATAGCCTGCGTCCATGAACAAGGGGAGGGGCACGTTAACACACAACGCAGGCTTCAGTCATTCGCCTGGGTGGGAATTGAACCCGGGATCTTTGGTTCGACAGGCAGACGCTTTACCGACTGAGTCAACCCGACTCCTTTCAGGAGGATATGGACAAACTTTTTGAATGAATTTTAACCTTTACTTGAAAAGATAGTCAGATCATGTTTACAATTTTTAATGAACCCTTTCTGTGAGTTGGTGATAATAATAATAAGATATGTATTTTCTGTGCTTGCTTGTTGCATCTTGAACTTTCATAGTTGGTAATATGTTTCCATTCTCTTATTTCCCCCTTTTTATTTGCAGAAGGTTGCCAGGCTTGGAGTTGGTAGCACTGGTCATGCCGATTCTCCTGCCACCATTGTACTGAAGAAGAATTTGAAGGCAAAAACTCCACTGAAGACCAGAAAGGGACGAAAGACACCAAGCAAGAAGCCTCAAACCAAGAAGACCGCATCCGTTGCAGACACCAGTTTTACAGGAGTACAGGAGCTTTTTCAAACCCCTCCACCAGCTAAACTTAGTAAGACAACCCCAGTCAACACTCCTGATCTCAAGACACCGGAAGGACCAGGAGAGATGTTTGTATCACCCCTTACCACTTCTCCAAAGAAGGCCACCACACCTGCCAAATCTGCAACGAAGAGAACATCTAAAGGAAAGTCGGCAGGAGTGACTGGAGAAGCACAACTGATAAAAACTCCCAAGCAGAAGGGCAGGCAATCAGTGGAGCTTGGAGGTCTGAAAAGGTTGTTCAAGACACCCAAACAGAAAACAGAAGCCAAGACACCTGAAGTTTTGGGATTGGTAAGGCTCTTCAATGAAAATAAGAAGACCCCCAAAACGCCAAAGTCGCAACAATCCCCCGGTTACACAGGTATCAAAGAGTTGATGAAGACTCCAAAGCAAGTTGACCCCTACACAGATTTTGAAGGTGTTCCAGATCTACTTTCATCCCCAGCTGCCATGAAAACTGAGAAGACATCTGTGAAGCAGTCCATGAAGAGGAAGAGGACCGAGACACCTGCTGCTAAGCCAGCGAAGAGACCAAGGATTCAGAAGACACCTGCCAAGACCCCAGCGAAGGCTGCAAAGACTCCAGCAAAATCCCCAGCAGTTACACCCAAGGCCACTCCTGCTAAATCTCCTGTAGCAGCGAAAAAGACACCAGCGAAATCCCCTGCAGTTACACCCAAGGCCACTCCTGCTAAATCTCCTGCAGCAGCAAAGAAGACACCGGCAAAATCCCCCGCTGTCACCCCCAAGGTGACCCCTGCCAAGTCTCCTGCTGCAGCAAAGAAGACACCAGCAAAGTCTCCAGCAGTTACACCCAAGGCCACACCTGCTAAATCTCCTGTAGCAGCGAAAAAGACTCCAGCAAAATCCCCAGCAGTTACACCCAAGGCCACTCCTGCTAAATCTCCTGCAGCAGTAAAGAAGACCCCAGCAAAATCCCCTGCTGTAACACCCAAAAAGACACCAGTGAAGGAAGTGAAACCAAAAGTTTCAAAGAGGGCAGCAAAGGTTAGTAAAGCAGCTACCCCAGCCAAATCTCCTGCAAAGAGAGCTAGGAGAGGGAGACCAGCAAAGGCTGCTACTCCAGCTAAACCTGAGCCAGTCGCAGTTGAAGCTAGTCCAGAGAAGACCCCAGTTAAGAAAACAACAAGGGGGAAGAAGGTTGCAGCATCCCCTGTCAAGTCACCAGTGAAGAAGGCCACGAGAGGAAGAAAGGCCAAGACTGCTCCTGAACCCAGTCCTGCAAAGGCCCCAGCCAAGAAAGCAACAAGGGGAAGGAAAGCAGCAGCATCCCCTGCCAAACCTGTCATTGAACCTGCTGAACCAACCCCAGCAGAGGCCCCAGCCAAAAGGGAAGGAGAGGAGCTAAAGCTGTCGCTGTTGAAGCCAGCCCAGTAAAAACTCCAGCAAAGAGGGCTTCAAGAAGTAGGAAAGCAGTAACCCCCAAGAAGTTGCCAGCAAAGAAGGCTGTGACACCCAAGAAAGCACCAGCTAAGAAGGCAACCAGAGGAAGAAAGGCAGCTGCAAAGGTTGTCGAAGTGGTTCCAGAAGCATCTGAACCTACTCCTATGAAAACCCCAGCCAAAGAGACTCCAGTGAAGGAGGTGAAACCAAAAGTTTCAAAGAGGGCAGCAAAGGTTAGCAAAGAAGCTACCCAGCCAAATCTCCTGCAAAGAGAGCTAGGAGAGGGAGACCAGCAAAGGCTGCTACTCCAGCTAAACCTGAGCCAGTCGCAGTTGAAGCTAGTCCAGAGAAGACCCCGGTTAAGAAAACAACAAGGGGGAAGAAGGTTGCAGCATCTCCGGTCAAGTCTGTGAGGAAGCAAGCACCTGCAGTAGCCCCCAAGAAGGAACAAAGAGGGCCGCTCCTGAGCCAGAGGCTGTAGCATCTCCAGCTCCCAAGAAGACCAGAGGTGGACGTTCCAAAGCCGCCCCTAAAGCAGCACCAGCATCTCCTAAAGTTGCTACCCCAAAGCCTTCACCGAAGGTAACACGAAGAGGCAAGGTAGCTCCCAAAGCAGCAGCAGCCACACCCAAGAAGGCAAGCAAGAAAGCAACCAAGGCTGCAGCAAAGACTCCAGAGCCTGTGAAGCCATCGCCTAAGGTTACAAGAGGAAGGGCAAAAGCCCCAGCTAAGGCAGCTAAGGCAGCAAAAGCGTCTCCAGCTCCACTCCACCAGAACCACTCGTTCAAGAAGGAAATAAACAATTTAGAGACCCCCACAGTACCATATTTTTCTTGTCTTCATGTGTAAATATCTTGTATAATATGTAGAATTTTATCTTAGAAACAATCGTTGGCAAGTGAATCTTTGAAATGCAAACAAATTCATGACATGAATTTAGACAAATATTCTAGAATGGTTGAAAACTTCCAGTGAAGATGTACATATGATTGCTGTTACCTTTTTTAGGGTTTTTACACTGCTCATTTAACAGTTTCATATCTCATGTACATTCACATGTTTAGTGGCATGGGAACTAGGCCATGGCATTGTATATTCAGGAGTGATTTTAAGCAAAATGGTGAAAGTCAACAAGTGATCTTCATGCCCTAAAGAATAAAAAAAGAGGTTTGTGCGATATCTACCTCATGATTTCTATAACATGCACAAGTTGTGCATATGTTGTGACAACATTCACCATGCATTTTAACGAGATTATCTAATGTAAATAAAACTGCTTTTATAGGATAGGGGTATAATTTGCAGGATGGTATTTTCTTAATTTTGATACATGTATTGTACAGATAAATTTTAAGAATCGTAAAAATGAATCAACTTGCCAAACTGTTCTTTAACATGTGAGTATGTGCAGGTGTATTTATGTCCATTCAAAACTAAAACATAGTTTGATGATTCAATTCCCCTTATTCATAAATAGAAAAACAAAGTCTTCTTTTTGAAGGGACAATACATTACATCATCATTCAGAATTAATAATTGAATAACCATTTTTTATAAATGGCACACATTTGAAATCATGATTATATTATGATAAGGAATCTTGAACAAATGAATCTCGCATACAATTTGACATTGTCTTTTATATTTACATAAACAATAATCAATTTGTGTATGCAATGGCAGTTTGGATTGTAAATGCTGTAAATAATCTTTTCTCTGTATTCCATGATTGTGCCTAGTCTTCTGTCTGGTGCTGGCAAATTAGCCATATACGTAAATTAGTACATCATTCTCCAAATGTGTATTTCTGGCACTCTCATTATTTGCTTATATGAATTGTATAATGGGGAGCTATAAGAGGTATCCTGAAATGTTTCAGATGAATATATACTGAACTGAAATTAAATCATTGTGAGAGTAATTTTGTACATGGACAAATATCTGGACAACGTTAGTTTATCCAGGTGCATGTGCTTTGTATACTTCATTGTATGAAATTGACCTTATTTTATTCAAAATTTTGCTCTCCTGAAGTTTTACATGATTACTCTCAAATTCCAGTTTGGCTGCTGTAGCATAAGAAAAGATGTTCTATTACGTGTGATGTTATGTTGACTTCAGGCTTGTCTACATTCACTTGAATGATAATGAAAGGAAAAGATATGTAAATACACTGTACATTGTAGTATACCACATGGCTTGTATGATAGGGGAAACATGTATTATAGTTGACATTTTTAATGGTTTGTAAACACTTTCTTGTAAATGGGTCTGAAATTTATGCATTTTCTACTGATTTTTACATATCTCAGTTCATATGATTGATAAATTGGAGACCAAATTTTAGGAAACTAGGCGGGTTAAAAATGCACTATAGATCAAACTTTTGTATCAAAGTCTATCCCTTTTAAAATGTTGCATTTTTAAGTGTAGATTTGATTACATTGTATTATGTATTTTATTAATTTGTTTATTTACACTTATTTTTCTTTGTACATACATGTACTTCACATTCCTTTCTCAAGCATACTGTAACCAAGACATACCATGTCCATCAACTGTACACCAATGTTCAAACTGGTAAAACTTAGCCCCCTCCCCCCCCCCCCCCCCCCCCTCCCTGTAAATGTTCAACTCCATATTGATTTTGATCCTATTTGTTTGGATTTAGATCAATAAAATTTGAATTTGAATTTTATTGATTTTGTCTGGACTATTTTACAGTGTACTGTTATTCCTGTTTTGTAATGATATTGTAAATAGTTTCCGTTTCTCTTGCTTTTCTTTTTCTTTCATCGTTCAATGTGTGATTTTTGTTAATGTAGTAAAGTTCACTGTGAACCTCAATTGATGATCCAATCTTTCTTGCTCCTCTGTACCCAGTTGTGTCTCAGTACGTGCATTAATGATTTTGTATTTGATTGCCATGGATTCCATATTAAGAGAAATTGTGTGAATGAATTTGAAATGGAAACGTGAAGGCTGGAGTAGAATGAATTTAAAAAGGAGTTACAAGCAATGCATGGAGAAATGCAAGAGTAGTGACACTTTTGAGGATGCAGTTATTGTTTAAGTGTTGGAAAGATCGAAAACATGAGAGGTTGCGTACATTAGTCTGTACATGTTGCATAGCGTATTGAGAGAGAAAGTTGTGACACGCGAGATGGGTCATAGGTTAAATCATATTGTTCCAAATGTTTTGGAGCTTCATGAAATGCCTGACCAGTCAGAACAAACTTCTGGTGACGAAACTATCTCTCTAAAATAGCTATGGTCTGTTGAATTGTGTCATTTCAGGAGGAATGTTATTTGTTTGTCTGTTTTTTTTCTTCTTTCTCTTAAAGGAGTAGACAAATTCCAAAGAGCAATTTTAAAAATCTACTTTTTAATAAATGGCAGCTTTTAATGACAAAAATGACATCCTAAAATGTTATATTAAAAAGAGAGGGCGTGGTAGGTGCATTAATTATGGAAAATTGGGAAGAGACTTTGGAAAGACAAGTGAGGAGAGAGTCTGTGCATGTCATGGTCGTGGAAGATTAGTTTGGTGGATGGAATCGAGGAGGAAAATGAAACGGGGTTGTGGATGCCGCGAGTAAACAGTCAAGCTTGACATGGAAGTAATGAAATTAATCTCTATTCGCCAAACGTGAATAATACCGTTAATCCGATCCCCCTATATTATCATGCCTGTGTGCATATCGCCAAAAGTGCAATTACATGTTAATCCGCACTGTGAGGTGTGTTGACATATGAACTTCCAACGCCGTCATCTTTAAAATGAAGGAGGAGGGGGGGGGAGGGGGGGGGGAGGGGAGGCCCCTGGGATATTTTGAAGGGGCTAGATGGAGAGTAGGGAGGAGCTGCTGTCATCCACAATATTAAAAATGGTCTGGATTTGGGGGATTTTTCTGTCATGAAATGGGAGAGGGTTAATAATAATATAACAAACAATACATCTTTCTGCAAGTCAGTTGCCCTCTCTTTCTCCTTTCATCTCTCTCTCTCTCTCTCTCTCTCTCCCCCCCCCCCCCTCTCTCTCTCTCTCTTCTCTCTCTCTCTCTCTCTCCCTCCCTCCCTCTTTTTTTCTTTCTTTTTATACGGATCCACGAGTTTCCCTCCCGGTTCACCTCCCCCTCTATCATTTATTCTTTCCCACTTCTGTATCCTTCTCTCAATTCTCAATTCTTTTCTCCCTATCCTACCGTTCCCTTTCTTTCTCACCCCCCCCCCCCCCCCCACTTCTCTTCCTCTCTCTCTCTCTTCTCTCTCTCAGTCCTCTCTCTCTCTCCCTCTCTCTCTCTATCCCTCCTTCCCTCTCTCTCTCTCCTCTCTCTCTCTCTCTCCCCCTCTCCCTCTCTCTCTCTCTCTCCTCTCTCTCTCTCTCTCTCTCTTTCTCTTTCTCTTTATACATATCCACGAGTTTCACCTCCCCCTCTATCATTTATTCTTTCCCACCTCTGTATCCATTCTCAATTCTCAATTCTTTTCTCCCTTTCCTACCGTTCCCTTTCTTTCTCATCCCCCCCCCCCCCCACTTCTCTCTCTGTCTCTGTAGGTCTGTCTCTCTAGGTATCTCTCTCTCTCTCTCACGGTCCCCTTCTTCATTTTCATTTCTCCAATCAAGAGGGCTACTAATGGCCGAAGCATGACCAGCATATTCGGCCAAAAATACTCTTAATGGGTAGAGTTGTTTCTACGAACATGGTCACTAGTGCTCTTCATGCCTACTTAAAAAGAAAGGATATGAAGTGTTTTAAGAAGAAGAGAGGGCAAACGAATGAGGATAGAAGTCAATCCCAGCCCCGGGCTACTTTTCCGTTTAAGAAATGTCTTCTCTTCTCATCTATCTCCCTCCTATATCTATTTTCTCCAGCTCGTACCCATGCACCTAGGGATTAAGCCGCCCTGCCCGGGCGCCAATCCCGTTCGGAAACCGTCGGACATCGCGCGTATGAAGCGGAAAGAAGGACGAGAAATGAAGATCAGACGAAAGGGTGAAATAAGTCCCGCTCTTTGCTCCGAAAAACCGGAAAGCTTTAATGCTTTCACCTCTATATGCATTGGCACGCTTTATGAATGTCGGAAAGATGGGAGGGTGCCGTTATTTGATTTAGGCGGATTGATAACATGTTTATTGGATGATGAAAATTTCATAACGCTGTGTCGCTTTCCTGTTCTCCCCTGAAAATTCAGACTTGATTTCCCTAAGTCAATAGAGGTTGAGTAACATACATGTACATGTATGTTACATAATACATGTAACTTGTAAGGAGAGATAATGTAAAGACGCGAGCATTTCTAAGATATGTAAATTACCGTTGATGCCTATTCTTTCATTGTTTTTTCCTTTTACAAGTCATGATGATAAGATTTCCAGCCCCAAGATTATGAGTTAAAATAAGAATAATCAGATTAAATTTGTCTTACGTTTTTTAAAACTTATTTATGACAAGTTAAAGAGTTTAGATCTTCAGGAAAAGATCAAAAGATTACTTTGGTTCTTTCCCTCCGTTTTCTTTTTATTCAAATGAGGATGAGGTGACTAGATGACACATATCAATTTGTTTTCCTTAGTTTTTGATGTTTGCCAAACACTGTAAATGCTATTGAGTTCCATCGTTCAGTGACGGATCCAGGGGGGCACAGGGGGCACGTGCCCCCCCCCCCCCGGCCCAAAAAAATATGTTACAATCAACCCTAAATTCGCCAAAAATGTGCTGAAAAACAGGGGCGTGCCCCCCTCCGGCCCCCCAAAAATAAATATATGCCAATGGCTGACCTTAAAAGGTGACCTTACCCCCCCCCCCCAAACGGAGCAAAATGTCAATTTAAAAATTTCGTGACCAAAAAAAAAAAAAAAAAATCCTCTTACCCCCCCCCCCCCCCCCCCCCCGCTTATTCAGCGGCTGGCTGAGTCGTTGCGATTTTTGGGGGACTAAACAAAATATATATATATATATATATATATATACACGGTGCCCCCCCCCCCCCCCCCCCCCAGGCAAGAAGTTCCTGGATCCGCGCCTGGTTTATTCATGAAGATTACAGATTTGAGATTTTCATTACCACTTTGCAAACTTAGTATATATAATTTAAAGGATTTCAAACATTAAATTAAAACCGACTTTACAAACAGTTGCCTTGACAACAAAAACGCGAGAGTTCTAGAACAATTTCGATTTCCCTTCTGGTCCACAATGTTCATCAAGTTACTGTTCATAAGACAAAATGTTTACCTAAAGAGAAATCGAAGAGATAGAAGCTTATGTTTACAAAAACCATTTCAATTGACAGGGGACGTTGGATCTCTAATACCCGAATTCTCTGGATAAATCATAATAATGGCTTTAGTAACCACTTTCGCCTTTTGTAAATTAATTTGAGTGATGAATTAGAGACCGGGGACATATCCAGACACGCACTTCATTATATTTTATTTTGAAACAACGTGTATCAATTATATCACACAAACAAAAACAAAAACAGACGATTGAAGTGGACTGAGGTGTGCAGAATGACAAGTAAACAAAAAAACATCATCTTGATCATACTTCATATTCTATGTCCTATAATGTCTCATCACCACTAAACCACACATCCCGAGCAGCACCATCAGAACCATTAACACCACCACTTTCGCCTCCTGCATTATCACTACCAGTCTACCACCACCACACCACCACCATTAAGAACCATCAGAACCATTAACACCACTACTACCAACAATTCACCTCCACCATTATCACCACCACATCACTACCACATCACCACCACCACCTTCTCCACCACCACCACCACCACCATCACCACCACTACCACTATCATCATCGCCATTATCGTCAATATACCACCACCACTATTTCTACCACCATCCCCGCCACCATCACTACTACTGCCCCTCCTGAGAATATTTTGTTTTGCATTATCAAGGGGCCAATTTACTATCTACATAAGATATTGACTAACTGCATCGCATGTTATCTTCTTTAGTCAGCAAAACTCTCCAAAGTTCATTGAACCTAATTTATTCAATTACGGAGCATTCAATTAAACCTTGCATGTTTCACATTATTAGCATGCTCCTTGTGAAATCACTAAATGCTTACATAGAACAAGAGCATTCATTCGATAGCTTTGTGGGGGACTTGTCTAATTATGTTGCCCAACCACGAGCGTAAGAGAGCTGAAGTCGAAAGCGAGAATGGCGGCGACTTCGGGAAACATGAGTGCTCGAAAGCAAGGAGAATCGGAACCAAGTACTTCGCAGAAAATCCAGGATTACCGCAGTATTACGTCGATTGTCATTGAGATAATCTCCCGCTCTCACATTTTGTTTTCAGACTTTTGTGGACAAGCAATTTCGAAGGGATGGAAGACAAGAGTTATTTGGGTAGGATTCCAGAGCGTCCCTCGTAAATAGAGGAAGCTCATAAAAAGCGAGAAAATTGACGCCGCTTCTTAGGCGATCGGTTTCCCACCAGCTACGGGGGCCAACCGGGGTCTGTTCGCCGACCACTTGGGCGAGGCGGCGGCGTTTGCAATGCGATACCCGTCCTCTGAAGGGAACGAGGGAGCGGAAAACTGGTGCTGCTCCAACAACCGCGCAGGAAATGGACCAATTTCTCGTCAGCGTGATTTGAAGAGGGCAGAGTTTCTCCTTTTCCCCTCCTTCTCTTGGACTTCAGACTTCTTGCTATCTCTTAACCGTCTCTGTCTCTCTAGCCATTTCTTTCTTCAAATAATATTCCCCAACCCCCCTGAGAGTACTTTCTACTAACGCACCTTACTGCCTTGGACAAAAATTACCTTTGAGAAAACCCTGTAGCCCGTGAAGTTTTATTTTA